GTTCTCTTCTGATATTGGAAAATCTTCATATACTTGAAAAGTAGATTACATTCTCTTCATTTTTCTTTTTTGTTTTCCAGACCAAATCATGCTGACATCCGTGCAATTTACCTAGGTTTCTGTGGCCAACATACTCCGAAGATTCTTCCAATTACCATGTCCTGCTCATTGCTGTGATCGCGGGGGTAAAACAGAGGGAACACTTACCAATATGGGGTAATGTGATCTAGAAGCCGCATAGGTGTCATAGAGACAAATTACTGATTCAGTCGCAGAGCATTTCACGGAGAGACCAACGGACTTCTCTAACCTTTTCCGCCGCATCCTTGCTATGAACCTCGATACAACGTTACCAACGAAATCCAAAACATATTTACTATCATTTGTTATCAGTGCCTTTCGATCGCTAGAATATGCTCTTATTCGCAAGGAATGCGCTCCGTTGGTCACGATATCTATATGGCACAATCTTCACAATGATGCTTCAAGGAACAGGCTCCTTGAACAATCGGACGCATTGAAGAGGGGATGGCGAATGGCTGTAAAGCGGTACGAGAAAGCGGATGATAGCGGAAAGGCAAAATTCCGATTTGAGCGCTCTTGGCTGTACTCGATGCTACTCGATTTCCTCCAACGAATCAACGTGGCTGATTGCAGCGATCTGGACAATGTGCGATATTGTGAACGATTTATGGAATTCCTTGTCGATCTGGACAGCCAGCTTCCAACAAGGCGATACTTCAATTCTATGCTAAAGGATCTAAACCTCCTTGCAGTAATTCGTGTGTCGAGACTCTACAACGAAGAATCAAATGCGCTCTTCCGTGATTTCTATACTCTCCTCAGGCACTTTATCAACTTCGCGGTAGACGATCAGTCTGGCGAGCACCAGTCTCCTCAGGCCGTTTACGATGCTCACTGTGGAGGGCTGGCTCACCTTCAAAGAACAGCAATCAAGCATTTCAAAGATAAACTCACCATTTTGGCATTGTCGAACTATGGTTCAATCGAGCAACGGAATGAATTAGAGGCGCATTTGTCGACCTTAACTGATGCAGAATTATTGGCCCTCTGTGCCCATATTGGATTTAGAACAAGCTACCCTGAACAATCTGGTATTATCCCTGATCGGCGACTAATTCTCGAAATTATGCTCTCAGCTTTCGAGCGCCACCGTTCCTTCCAAGAGTCCGCAGAGAAATTGGCCATTATGCCTACGGAATCGAACCTATACGACCCTGCTCTTATTCGCAATGAGTCCTATGATGGCTCTCGGCCATTGGCCATTCCAAAATTAAATTTACAGTATTTGAGTCTTGGCGATTTCTTATGGCGATCGTTCTTGCTCTACCGCTCCGAATCATTTTTTGAGATTCGAAAGGACCTCGAATTGGTGATAAAGCGATTACAGCCACGCCTTCAGAGGAATACCGGGACTGTATCATTTGAAGGATTCTCGAAAATGGCAATACCGATTGCAAAGCCGGCAATAATCGAGGTTGCGCCGGCAAAAGTTGGGTCAGCTAACCCTGCATATGTTCGTGCTGAAATTGCACTGGACGTCAGCCGCCTTGGTGATAATGTTCGCAGGGAATGGGAAACACTTCGGCCTGATGATGTCGTTTTCCTTCTTGCGCTGCAACCCAAGAAATCAGTTAAACAAATATTTAGCAATAGCCGAGATCCGAAAGATGAAGTGAGCTTGTTATATGTCCGAACGGCGGAAGTTGTGCACGTTCTCGACGAGAACGGGCGATTTTTAAGGGAGCCTCAAACCGAGGAAACTAACGGATATCGGCCGCGACCGCGTCTTCGACGATTACTTGTAAATCTCGATGCAGCATCATATAAAACCGATATGGAAAACCTTGCGAAAGGGAAATCCGACGTATACACATCCATCAATGTGATTATTAGGCGAAGGGCAAGGGAAAACAATTTCAAGCCAATCCTTGAAACCATGCAGTTCCTAACAGTCGCGAACACAAATCTTCCGTCATGGATACAGGAGGTTTTCCTTGGCTACGGAGATCCGGCTAGTGCCAGATATACAGAGCTCATTAATAAAGTGAAATCTGTCGACTTCCGCGATACATTTTTGAATTGGGACCACCTCATCCAAAGCTTCCCAGGCCAAACAATTGAATCAGCCGGAGGTGCAGTCTCTCACTTTGACCCTCCGTATGTCTTGGAGATGTTCGATGATGACCGCAAAGCCACAACCTCAAACGCATCGAAGAAGAGACGACGAGATCAGATTGAAGCTGTTGAGAAGGCCCCAAGCTCGATACGTGTTTCCTCGTACCGACCACCTAACCCAGGGCCTTATCCGGTTGATGAACCGAAACTTAACACGATTCGGTTTACACCTGCCCAGGTGGAGGCCATTGTCTCTGGCACCCAACCCGGCTTGACAGTTATCGTTGGACCCCCGGGAACAGGCAAAACTGACGTTGCAACTCAAATTATAAGCAATATTTATCACAATTTCCCCAATGAGCGGACATTACTTATCGCTCATAGTAACCAAGCGTTAAACCAGCTTTTCCAAAAGATTATGTCCCTAGATATTGACCAGCGCCATCTCTTGCGGTTAGGTCGTGGAGAGGAGGAGTTGGACACCGAGGAGAGCTACAGCAAATACGGTAGAGTGGATACTTTTCTCGAGAACCGGGGGAGCTATCTTGCTGAAGTAGATCGGCTGGCTGCTTCAATTGGAGTGGAAGGGGCCCATGGGAACTCTTGCGAGACGGCAGGCTATTTCAACACAGTATACATTCGACCAGCATGGACTAAATATTGGGATAAAGTTCAGGCCCAAGATTGTCCCGGCGAAACCGTTATCGCCGCCTTCCCATTCCACTTATTTTTCTCAAATACCCCCAAACCACTTTTTGATCCGAATTTGTCAAAAGAAGAGTTGCTTAATATTGCTTCTGGATGCCAAAGGCACTTGGACAAATTATTTTCTGAACTTGAAAATATCCGTCCGTTCGAGATACTCAGATTCCAGCGAGACAAAGCGAACTATCTTCTAGTCAAAGAAGCGCGAATCATTGCCATGACTTCGACCCATGCAGCTATGAGAAGGCAAGAAATTGCCAACCTTGGATTCCACTATGATAATGTCGTCATGGAGGAGGCAGCCCAGGTGACGGAGATCGAAAGTTTTATTCCCTGTGCACTTCAAAATCCTAAAAACGGTGAACTGCCATTGAAACGAGTAGTGCTTTGCGGCGATCATCTCCAAAACTCTCCTATAGTTCAGAACATGGCTTTCCGACAATACGCCAATTTTGAACAAACACTCTTCTCCCGTCTCGTAAGATTGGGTGTACCAACAATAAACCTGGATCAACAGGGTCGATCACGGCCATCAATTGCAGAGCTTTTTAAATGGAGATACCCACGCCTGGGAAATTTGCCAGCTGTGGAAACAAACGAGGAGTTCAAACTCGCCAATGCCGGTTTCAAATTTGACTACCAGTTTATTAACGTTCCGGATTATCAGGGGTTTGGAGAAAGAGAACCTTCAGCCCATTTCATTCAAAATCTTGGGGAGGCGGAGTACACTGTTGCCATATATCAGTACATGCGTTTACTTGGCTATCCAGCATCGAAGATATCAATTCTGACAACATATGCAGGTCAAAGGGCTTTGATCAAGGATGTTCTGCATCATAGGTGCGCCAAGAATTCTCTATTCGGCTTACCGAAAATTGTAACGACGGTGGACAAGTATCAGGGAGAGCAAAATGACTGTAAGTTTAAACATATCCCGAAATGACTTAACCCTATCGTGCAAAATTTAATAGTATTCGAATCTCATATCCAACAAAACAAAACAGATGTCCTCCTCTCCCTCACACGTACACGGACAGTTGGCTACCTTCGCGACGTCCGTCGTCTCACCGTCGCTCTCTCGCGCGCCCGGCTAGGTCTCTACATCCTCGGCCGCCGGGAGATCTTCGAATCATGCTTTGAACTCAAACCAGCCTTTGACATTCTCTTCCGGAGACCAGATAAGCTCATGCTTATTCCCGGTGAACTCTTCCCAACTTCGCGAGGTTTTGTGGAAGATGCCACTGGCACGCCAATGGAGGGCATTGAACATTTGGGTCAATACGTATACGAAATGACCCAGGCGAAGATTAAAGCTTTGGCGGAGGAGGGTAGCGCAGCGACTGTTGCTACGGATGCCGATGAGGTCATGGCAACCATTGGTGAAGAAGGGGAGGATGAGGACGATGAGGATAAAGAGCGGTTTGTACAGCCAGAGAGTATTCTTGATTAAAATTGAGAAAACATCCAGGTTGATTTTGAGAGTTTTCTCTTCCTTTTATTCTTCTCACTTTGGTATGCATGGGTATCGTTCTGAAGGGAGTTTTCTCTTTGCCTTTTAACGTTGTTTGAAATATATTTGACCTTCATTTTGCCTCGAAGCAGTACTGGGATATGTAAGGATTGGGATCTATGACTCTTGAAATGCCTCGTCTGTTCTTGACGCTTTCTTCACATACGTCTTTTGACCTTCGTATGTCTAGAGGGCATACTAAAATATAGATAGCTCCAACTTTTTACTAACCTTACGCGATAAATTGTACACTTAATGATTATCCCCATAAAATACTACTTGAACACCGGTTTGGCTTTCTCCCTTTCCTATCAAACCCGATGGCTATATTGTTCAATTCAAAGTTTCAGGTATAGGATGTTGTTGGTATGCCATATATCCTGCAGGGCATTTGGTTTTCTCCAAATTTCTTTCCTTAGTATGCACTGTACATGTATGTATGTACAAAGTCTATTGTCTTCCATCCCCTGCTTATTTTATCCAACGTGGAAGAGTTGTCTTTCCTTCAGCTATCATATCAGGGCACCGTTGGTTTCCTTAACTTAGCTAGCATGCGTGCCTACCCAGATCGGCCTTCGCAACCGATTTGCTCCTCTTTCCTCCTGCCTTAAGAGCACAGCTGATAGCTTCAGGCTCGCTAGAATACTTAAAATTTCACTTCTTCCCCATTTTCCGGCTTCAGCTGGTCGACAATATTCTTCGGGTCTTTGAATGCGATAGCAACAAATCTAGGCGCTCGGCGTTAGAATAGTGCCACTCAATCCAAAGGAAAAGGGGGCCGACAAAGGGGGAAAAACAAGAGTGAAGGGCAGCTGTATCGTATCGTGTGTTGAGAAAGCTGTTCACATACTTTGTATGGCTCCCCCGTGCGAAAACTTCGTGATTGGTGTTGGTGAACTTTATCGATGTGAATGCCAGTGTTTTCCCGACTGTGATACAGTTTTAATATGGTGAGGTCATTGAGCCGGGGGCCGGGAGAATGGATTAAAGCATACATTTGTCGCATGTAACCTCCTAATTGAGGTCCTGAGTGACTTGAGCTCGAGATAAGGGTTCGGGGAGAGCAAACCCGTCCAACTTACCGCCAGAATCTTATCCCCAATATTACCCCCAGAACTGAGGTATGTTACTAGTGATGAAATTAGAGCTTGTGGCCAGAGAATTCAAGCCTTAGCTTTGAGCAAGTTCAAAACAAACCTTGAAGATCTGTTGAGACACCAGTAGAGAATAATCCCCTCGAAGCAATGGCCAGCGATCCGCCGAGATCGACTACGGAATATAACATCAACAAAAGCTAATTGCATGACAACAGAATGATGGTGTATTTCACGTACCCATGCTGGCAATCGTGCCTCCATGGAGTATACCCAATCGATTCTTGTAAAGAAACAGGAATATATTAGTTAAATTTCCCGCCAGCACTGCAGCGATGGGAAACACAAACTGTATGGTCTTTCTCAATATCTAGTTCGAAGTTCACAACACCAGGGCGTGCGGCTGTCACGCGGAGCTATTGATATTCAGGATATTATATCAGTTCTCTCATTAGATTGGGGTTTGTATAGATCAAGCTTGAGATGGATGATTCGAGTTGTGGGACTGAATTGCAGCAACTGCAAAGGGTAATTATCATTCATAGATATCGGCATAGCCACATACTTTATCCAGCAATCTATACGCAACGACTGGTCATCAACTATGCATTTTCCCTATCAGTCATTCCAATTGTCTGAAAGCAGATGAATACCTGGGTTCTAAGCCGGATGTTGTCCGGAAGGACTGCCAGACCTATTAAAGTGGAATTATTAACTGCTGAAATGAGAATTAGCAGCTTAAACATGTAAATACTTACTGATTGAACAAATTTTAAGGTTTTCATTTTGGAACGACCAAGCACCGAACAAAGGATGTGCTGAAGCTTGAGATAGCCCTCCAGGTTGTTCTAGATCTTCGCCTCTCCAATAAGATTAAACGAGAAGCGCAATAGCCGACGCTTAGATAATCGCATGGAATGCACTCTTGGCAAGCCCCGCCTGCCGTACAAATATCAACTTCTCTCGTCTTCAAACCGTTTGAGCTTCCTGCCCGAGACACTGCCAGATACTGCCTTGGGTTTTGCAAACTTCGATCCCGCGCCCGATTGGTATCGCTATGATAGATCGGTGATACCTATAGAACGGCGACTGGGGCCCAGAGCCACTGTTCCGGAAGAAAGTGAAAATGGCTGCGTCCTCTTCCCGCTCGATGGAATACCTGGAAAGTCTGCCAGGAACAGTCTTCCGCAGACTCTACCAGCAACCATCCACAGCTCTAGCAATCTTCCGGCGAATGTTGCCGTACCTGGGTAATGCGCAATACAGGTTTTTCTATAGGATGATATTCAGTATGAGATAGCTAATACCAAATAGCAAAATGCTTCGTCATGGCGCTTCTATACCTTAAGGATCCCCTCCCTGCAGCAGATCTAGAACTATGGGTGAAGACCGAGAGCAAACGGTGAGTGCAAAGGTTTAATATATAGTTATCAATACGCAAGATTTTGATACTAATTGCACGGTATTTGAAGCGAGAGAGACAACGCGCTATCGATATTGAGCCGGCTCCATATCCTCTCAAATACCACAACATCGGATAATGTCAGGGCATATACTGTTACGGATCCGTTCTCATCATCACTTCGACAGGCTCTTACAGGAGGAGATAAACAGCAATCTTTTGGAGTCCCGTCCGTAACCGACGATGAAAACCCTATGACCGTTGCTCAACTTGACCACTATGCAAGAAGTCAGTGGGAAGGCGTTCTAGGTTATATGGTTGGAACTAGCGCTCTGGGAGTACAGCAGGCAGCCACGTTAAGTAAGGGTGTCAAGCAGCTTCTCCAAGCCTGCCATCTCGTGGAAGTCCGCGACCGAAGAGTTGAAATCACAAAGGATGGTTTCGCCTTCGTCCTACAGGACCTCAACACCCAAGTCTGGCACATCTTAATCCTCTACGTCGAAAATGCAGAGCAAATAGGCATGGACAGCATCGAAGTTTTGTCTTTCCTCTTCGTCCTCAGCAGCCTCGAACTCGGGCAATCATATGAAAAAAAACATCTCACATCCACTCAACTCAAGACCCTGGCCGACCTTACCGATTTCGGCATTGTATACCAACATTCTCCGCACCAAGAAGCAACCCGTTTCTACCCTACCCGCCTAGCCACAACCCTAACTTCCGACTCTATAACCCTCGGCAGCTCCATCTCGAGCAGCTTAACCGCGCCCAACGGAGTGCCCAGCGCAAGCTCCAACGAACCCTCAACAGGCTTCATAATCATAGAAACAAACTACCGTCTATACGCGTATACCTCATCCCCACTCCAAATCTCATTAATCGCCCTCTTCACAAGTCTAAAATATCGCTTCCCCAACCTCATCACAGGCAAGCTGACACGTCAATCCGTCCGACGCGCCGTGGAAATGGGCATCACGGCCGACCAAATCATCTCATATCTAACCACCCACGCCCACCCGCAAATGCGGAAGTACCACGCAACGAAGGCCGGCGCGAACCCCGTCGGCGTACCCACTGTTCTCCCGCCTACCGTTGTTGATCAGATCCGTCTCTGGCAGCTAGAGCGGGATCGAATAAAAGCTACGCCAGGCTTCTTATTTAAGGACTTTGTTAACCTAGCGGAGTTTGAGGGCCCGTGCAGATATGCAGAGGAAATTGGGGTTTTGGTATGGAAGTCTGAGAGGAAGCGGATGTTCTTTGTCACCCGGCATGAGCAAGTTGCAGCGTATTTAAGGAGTAGGGCTGGAAGGGCCTAAGCTAATTTCAAAAAGTGAGGTTAAAGGGTAACTTAAAGTCTTGATTTCTTTCTTCTAACCGGGTAGGTTATACCCCTTTTGTGTTTTTTTTTTTTTTCTTGGTATAAGACACCCCCTTTTTACGACAAAATGGGAAAGGCGTTTGTGGCATTATCCCAGAAGACTTTGTTTTGATCTTTTCCCCATCTTTTGATATCCGTGAAAAGCATACTTTTCGTCTTGTTTCAAAATTTCTATATTTTCGCATCTGTGTCGCTCTTTCACAGATTCAGTGGAACATGGGCATTGAACATCTGTTCCATTCAGATCATACCCCAGATTCCGGCTTTTCGCAGTGCTAAGAAAAGAGCAAAGAAAACGCAAAGAGCAGTATCGTGGGAGCCATATTAATCGTTACTCCAATCCTCCTAACTCCGAAGCATATCAAGCAGATCGAAACGGAGCATGTAAAAATGCAAACTAAAACAAAAATTACCAAGGTATTTCAAATGGACCAACAGGATATTTGTTTGTAACAGGAAGAAAAAAATTAAAAGAGAGAGAGAGAGAAGGGGGAGGGGGAGATAATCAGAAAAATAAACTAAAATTTCTCCCATCACTCAAGCCAAACTTTTCCGAACCGTCCTAAACATATTCATCAAACCAATCCCTCCGCTCCCAGCTCCACCACCCCCTCCCAAAGCCCCGCCGTCACTCCACTTCCACTTCTTGTCAGCCATCTCTCCAGCCACTCCGGCCAATACAAGTGTTCCATCATTGAGATCAGACGTACTGCCACCGTGCCATTGTTTATTCCCAGCAACACCAGCACCGGCATCACGCACAAACCGCATTGTCCACCGATCGCCAAAGCATTTGGAATAGGCATCTCGAAATTCCAAGAAACTGATTCGTGCCTCTACCGTCGTGCAAGCGTTTTCGAGGAAGGCGAAAGCACGCGTGACCCGCTGGTCGTTCATATTTGCGGAGGAGGATGGGGAAATATTGTAATATGGTGATGCAGCTGAACTGTCATATCCTGTGACTGCGCCTGATTCTTCTTTGAAAGAGTCTTCGTGGTGGAAGGCATTTACCAAGGTGGAGAAGCGGCCTAGCCAATATTGGCGCGGTTTGGCGGTGGCTACCTGAGAATCGAGGGATATCTTTGTTAGCGAGAGATACCTGATGGAAGAGCATCGATATATGGGGGCATGGAATGGGTTTCTAGCCAGGCTTACGGTTTTGATGTCATCGTCGTTATGTGGCGAAGTACATCCAGATTTATGACCCTCCATCGAGCTTTGATTCTTTGAGCTCCTTGGCTGCTGTGTATCCGAGCAACAGGCATTCTTTACCCTAGCATCTGGGGAGCTATGTGGACCACTGGGACTCTTTAAGGGTCCTACTTCGCAGTCTTTAATGACGTTGCACTTGCTATGGGCATTGATTTGGTAGCGGTTAATAAAGCTTTCGGCTGGTGCAAAGTAACCAGGAAGCTTAGAATATGAGGCGAAGTTTAGAGTTGTCTGACTTTTTGGCAATGAGCGCCCTTTTTGGTCAGATAGTGCCTGTTGAATGGATGTCGGACAATTCTGTGACGCGAATAATCCGGCTGGCGGATTATTGGCCATAGGAACTACTTGCGCGTTTGCTGCTATTGCTAGTTTCTGATGTTTTTCTCTTATTTGTTGCTGTTGATGTTTCCTGTCCAGGTTTGGTTGTCCACACGAAACCTTACTGTTTCTCGACAGCGATTGGTGGCGTGATAAAGAGGAACCATGTCTGAGACTAATAAAGGAAGAGAACGTGGTTGACTTCGGAATCGTGGCCCCTGCGTTTGTATTTCTTCTGGGATATCCGTCTGGTTGGGGACTGGGCAATGGAATTCGTGACACCTGAGGTGGGCCTGTTCCCCCCTTTAACGTCGTGTATTTGACATTTAGTTTTCCTCTGTTTGTCTGACCTTGCTCAGATGGCTTCTCGTGAGAGATGAATGGTATCTCTGGTACAGGTATCTGGATGTCACCGTTCTGTTGCTTTCCATTAAAACCTTGGCTTGCCTTAGTGGAAGCGGCTAGTCCCCCTGGTGTCTGGGATAGACCTTTTGAATGGGTTCCCGATGTCGGTAGCGACCTGCCCGTAGTTTGTTTTACGGGTGCTATGGCCCGTTCGGATCGCGACTGCAGGTCTCCGGGACTAGGTGGGCACGAGCTGGTCGTGAACGACGTTGTTGGCGTTGTGCCTTGACTTGAACCCCCGGCATCTGTGTGACGTTTCCTGCGGTGAAACATGCTCTTCGCAAAGGCTTGGAGGGATTGTGTTAAAGATGACTTACGCCGACGGCCCTGCAAAGTACTGTTGTATTTAGTATCACGAGGCGAAACGTATAGATGGGGAAAGGAGGCCGGATATCGCGCAAAAGACATGTTTGTTAGGCTCAGATTCAAGAACTTGATGACCTTCTGGATGTGTATATATGTTGTTTATGTTAGTTTACGGATGCGGATCCCTATCATCAGGATGGACGCGGAACAGCGTCGTGAGATGTCAGGGAGAAGCATATATGGCTGTAGCTGTGAATACCAATAAAAGATAAAAACATTGAACAGAAATCAATACAAAGGAAATCGATATGACCAAGTGAAGACGGACTGAGCATACAGTGTTACTGAGCAAGTCAGAAAGATGAAGAATGTGCTTCTCTAGCAGACGTCGCATATTACTGCTTTGGGAAGTATGTTTGGCAACGCAGTTGAGCATCCTCGCACCGCATAATACAGAAAAAAATCAATATTTGAAGTGTTGTGCTCTCCAACGAATGACTTAAGGTAACAGGCAAACGCATCCTGTAAACAGATCCTAACTTCAAATGACATCTTAAACATCAGTTCCTATTCCGCTCCGACGACGATATCTCCCTCAGACACCTTTACGGCGCTACCACTCAACTGGATTTTATCGATCTCCTTGGCCCCCTCCTTCAACACAACCTTCAGTCCAATATCACTCCTCCTCCCCATTTCCACCCCCTGAACAACATGGAATAACATCTCGTTCTCGCTTCCACTTCCGTTTCCACCCCCATTCCCTGTCAGTGCTAAGTAGGAAACAAGCCCACTCGCAGCACTTCCGGTCGCCGGGTCCTCAGAGGCGTCGAAAAACATTCGACTGCGAATAACATTTGTCTTCCGCACCTCGTCCCATACATCTTTCACATAGAAATACACATGAAGGGGTATTCCTGTGTCCCAGCAGGGGTCAAAATAACCTGCCGCCTCTGTGCTTATCGCGGGAAAGCTACACGCCCCACTAGCCGTCGTTGCTGCAGCCAGCGCTTCCAAGCTAGGCAACCGGACATGGGCAGCTGTCATACCCTTGACAACTGAGACGATGGGGAATCCATCGGCATGCTTGCTAGGGTCTAGATACGGCTCCACAGATGGGTGCAGCTTGAGCAAATCCTCCAAAGAGAACCTTCTCGAGTGGATGTGCACGTTATGCGGAATCAGCGCGGAGACCATCTTAGGGTCCTCTGCGGATATGGAGATTGGGATTTCTCCAGCCTTTGTGGCAATTATTGATGGTGGCACTTCATCCCTATTACCTAGTTTGGAGTGTAGGAGTAGCCATGATGTTGCGCCGATGGTTGGGTGGCCGGCAAATGGAATCTCTGCCAGCGTCGTGAAGATGTCTATGGTGCGAGGTTGTTGTGGCCCGCTTGAGGGATGGACGAAGATGGTTTCGCTGAAGTTAAACTCACGAGCAATGGCTTGTTTTTGGGTTTGAGTGATAGGAATGTTGTCGGAGAGGAAAACTACAGCCAAGGGGTTGCCAGCGAAGGGGGACGTAGTGAACACATCGAGGGTAACAAAGTGGAGGGATTGAGCCATTGCGATAGGGTATGTTCGCTCAGTTCTTATTGCGACACTTGAAATAATTTATTCCCATCTGCGATATTTTGAATTGTTCAATTTGGGGTTGTCGGCCAAAGCAATACTATATATCCCTCCCTGAGTCATATCTAGCGGAGATGTGGGGGAGACTCAACCTTCAAACCCGCGCAAATGCCGCATTCTCCAATCCACTACGAATAAATTTGGAAGAACGTGCTGGTACCCATTGTCTCTAGATCAGAGCATGCTGTTTATCATGTGATATTAGATATTACGGAGATAATTGGGAAACACTGAAAACGATTTTGCGGATCAAAAAGCATGATTCTGACATTATATATCAGTACGGAGTGGTATAAATAAAGGACTTCAAAGGTAGTGAAATTCTCCGTGCGATTAAATTTGTTCTTCATTACTCTGTACAGTGAGTGAGTAAATTAGGTAAGATACATTCATTAGTTAACTAACTAGTTAACTACAACTTGTCTGTCATAAGGCGCGTTTTACTAATTAGCAACAAATGGTTGCCGCGCCTCTCCGCTCGTTGATCCCTGATTGCTTGCCTTAACTTGAAGATAAGCTGTCCCTCTCCCTCTCCTCTGTCCAATCATAACGACCTGTCCGCCTATAGCAGAAGCCAATTGTGATGCACGGTACGGAGTATGCAATGGCCGATGGCAATAGCGGGACGGGTTGTAACTTCAACTAACCCTTCGCGTAGCTCGGTTGACCGCGCGAGAGAGAACAAGCCAAGGATTGACCGGCCATCTTCCCCATTCTTTCCTTCTTTTGAACCCTGAGAATCATTGAACAAGACGTAAGGAAGCTGGGGAGTACCCCGAAGCCAAGAACAGAGGATCAGCTTGAGTCTCTGAAGAAAGACCAATTATGTGATTGATAGAGATAACGTGGGATGGTGTTGTGGAGCTAGCCAACTCAAATTAGCGCCCTCGCTGCTTTTGCACGCTGATAATTCCCACTACCTTTTTCGCCTACATCCAGCTGAGGTTTTCCCTGCACTCACCAAGTACCCCGTCCTGATCCTCCGTCAGCACCTCTTGCACCGTCTTATCCCCGTGGTACGCCTCTCGAATCTCACTGTGAAGCCTCCCGCGGGTTTGGCCTTCATTCTGCGTTGACTGCTCGCCCTTGCTCTCCTGCCGTTTGATCCTACTTTTCCAGCTCACCATCCAGATTCTGGTCTCATTGGAGATTTCCATGCCCGGTGCTGCCGCATAGCACCTGTGAGCACAGTCTTGCGTCCATTGTTCGCATTGACAGCATCTGCAGCTGCAAGTCGTAGGAGTTAGAAACAAGACGGCTTTCGAGAGCTCAATACAAATACTAAACTCCCTGAAAACCTACCGATGTCGGGCACCCCTAGTGAAGCCAACCCCATTGAGGGCTGGCTCGTTCAACAATATGCAAAAAAAGCTCGCGATGACCCTTGGTCCATTGAGCGATATTCAGCGTGCCGCCTACTCAAGGAAAGCGGTATACCGTGCTACCTTTGGGCTGAGGATACTTTAGCATACTATGGAGTCCCCACAGTTGTTTTTTATGTACACATCATTGTTTCCGACATCAAGAAAGCTGCAGACGCGCTTGTTGAAAGAGGCTGGCACCCTCCACCTTCTGGCTTTGAACCAAAGTACATCGATATTAAGGAGGCCACTTGCTATCTTGTTGAACCACAATGCAAGAGTGTGGACCTGTTAGATGATGTGGTTGCTCTCACAGCAGCCTCTGATTGGGATATCAAGCTTCCAGAAATTGCCACACAGAAAAGCTGGCATTGCCAGAGAACTGCCAGATGGCCCTTTATTCCACCATTACATGAATTTCTGGATTCCCTTATCAGAAGATGGCTGGATACTCCGGATGCACACTTTTTTTTTCGTAGCCACATAGGGTGCTTTTTGGGCTATCTTTATGGTTATATTCCAATTTTAAAACTCAGAGAATTTGCTGATTACTTGAAGATGGAGCATCGGCAATACCATTTGGATGTAGTTGCAGGAGTCAGCTACACCCGAGAGCCTTTTAGAATTCATTCACAGAAGATCCGAGACTCCATACTCAGAGGGGAGTATGAATTTCAGGAATGCTCAGTTTCGAGGGATGATGAGCGATTTTTCACAGCTGATGTTGAGGCACGATTACTGGCTACGCTTCCACCCGCAAATCATAAATAATCACATAGTGATGGAGGTGGAAGGTTGATTTATTGTAACTATCTAGCAGGCGCAGCACTGCTTAAATAGATGTGGTCACATGGCATTCTAGCGAGTAATAGGGATGCTAATACATAGTATTTAGCCTTCTCGATAACAAGTGTTTTGGTTGCTGTGATTACACTATTATTCATACTATCCCCTCTCATATGCCGCTGAGGAGCATTACTTGCAGTTCACACCCAAGGAGAACCCAATTTATGCTACAGACCTATTTCATTTACGGTTAAGATTCTTATTTCAATCATGAGGTAATTTAATGTCTTCAATCTGTGACCAGGAACAGGGCATGAGAGACAAACAGCCATCAATTGCAGGAGCGCAAAAAGAAAAAAGATGGCAGAAGGTAACAAACTGTAGAAAGCAAAAATGCGACATCAATGAGTGGGGTATTCTGAGTGGGAACTTGATTGATTAAGCGATGTCATCTTCAGGGCCCCCTGCTACCAAACCATATTGAGGTTGGTCAGAAGGTACTTATTAACAGAACCCCGGATTAGCTATTGCATGCATATATTTAGAGTGGACTTCACTCGAACCCAGCCTGTGCCCACAAAGCCTGATTCTCCGCTGATGAGCAATATGTCGCGGTAAACCAATCGCGGAATTGTTTGGTAGCATTCGGGACTTCTGCCGCAGTCGGTTTTGGGTGGTACGGATTGTTCACAAACCACTGTAGAAGAAATACGATATCCTCTGCGTCGGTTCTTTTTTTGTCTTCGTTGGCTCGTCCCAAGATTGACCGGCATTTTGCATTTAGTATGAGTGCAGGTTTGAGAACGCGCACCTGTTGAACTTCCATTGTTGGTGTTTCCGCATCGTATGGTTCTTTGAAGAGGGATGGTGGTGTCAGGATCTCAATCTCAACCCCTTGGTAATGGGTGCGGAGAGTTCCTGGCTCGATAACAAAGCCACCTGCATTCCGAAGCTCTTGCCGAGCAGCCCGTGTCTGTCCCGTAGGGACCACGAAATCCACATCCTGAGTAAGACGTTGCGAACCGAGGAGCATACATGCTGCTCCACCAATGATGGCGTACTTGGTTTGGTGTAATGCCGCACCGACCGCGCGAGCTGCATTTCGCACGGCTACTTGAGCTTGATAATCGCCGGGTTCGGGCATGGTGATGAATTATAAAGGTCGCTATGTGCTGTTAGTACTGTGCTGGAAAAAAGCCGGTCTCATACAAGTAGAGTATAGTTGGAAGAAAGTGTGAGGGTGAAGATACAGTGCCTCACAATAAGTTTGAAACTATTGTGACTTCTCATCAAAATCTACTAGTCCAAAAGTAGTTTAACTTGTAGTAATTAGTTGTAGTTATAGTGTCACAAATGCATCCATTTACCTGTATTTTTCCACTCATCTACACCATTCTCTACTTTTTTATTCATTTTTTCTATCTTCTTCCTCACATGTTTTCTTTATTGAGTGGAAATATTTGATTTCCAGATGTAATTTAATCAATCAGAACTAGTTCTGCAATAAACAGTACAACTACTAAATTACTTTTGGACTAGTGGATTTTGATGAGAAGTCACAATAATTTCAAACTTATTGCGAGGTACTGTAAGTGGCTCTTGTGGCATCCGGCCTCTGTTGGGCGCCGCATGACGGCAATTTCATACATGAGGACGTCACTTGGATTCATTCCTTTCTTTCACCGCGAGTGAATATCCCTGCGGCGCCAGTTATACTACGCAGCGTATAGTCCGCCGTAATTACATCAATTATGAACAAGTCACAACAAGTCGCCGCCAAGTCAAAAACATGAGCAGAGAGTAATCTCTTCGGAGAAGAGGACAGGGTGCACAGCCTTGTCTTCATGGCACTTTGAATCAACATCAACCACCAATGAGTGACTCGGCAGTGGGCACTGCGTGGGCTGTATACGAAGGCAGCCTTGTCTCTCGTAGTTTTTGGCTTGCCTGAGCTTTGTTAGCTGGTATCTGGTCCCGCGCTGCCGAACAGCCACCATCTAACCAACCACCCGAGAAATGGCAAATACCTGCGAGGAACGCCCTATCAATCTGCCCCGCTCCCTGATCCTTCTCAAGCCCCCGCAGGAATTCAGCCAGCGGGCGTCATGTGTCTGGCAAACACAGTCAAGCAGCTAAATGCGGCTCAAGTCCTTGATTCGAAGGTTTCTTTGTGTTCAGGTCCTGAAAAAAACCGCGGATCCTATCAATTTCTCCCCTTGTGCTTTGTGTTGTGTGAGATGCCTGTTTCATTCTCTCAAGCCTTTGCTAGGTATCGAAGTTAACGATATCTTCATTTATTAGTCCCTTGCATTTTGTTGCTTTACTCGGCAATAAGCTCTGGAAATCCTTATCCTTACATATCTCCTAGCTTGTTCGGCGGGAGACTTTTTCATGGGCCTCGAAATCTCAAAGGTTGAGGGAGATATTTTGCACTGTCGCTGGTCAACCTCCCGACAATGATTTGAATAAAGGTTTCCTTCGAGTATTTGTCTTTTTATCATTCATCTACGTCTACCTAAGCTCGTCTGCTTTGCTTTCTTTTCTTTGGGCACACTGGACATGACAACTACCACCCCTTTAGAAAGCGGCCGTATGCTGGCCGCAAGCAAGACTGACACACGCTCTAGTCTGCTAGACTGGCCCCAGTTGGTGGGACTGAGAGAGCTGGACTTGGGGACTGACAAACTCCCACCTCTCCACTGGCTTGCGCACCCTTTCCCTACCGAGCTCGAAGTTATACCAGATAATACCCCTCCTGATGTTATAACTATTATCCACCAGTCCTTATCTTTTGACCTGTACAGGAAAAAGGCATTGCCTTCTCAGGATGGCGGGTCAGATGCGCACCAGAATGGGGATAGATGGTCTCTCATGTCCGATTCGCAATGCAGACAGCGAAATGGTTCGATCTCACAGTTATCTCGCTTATCATCGCTAAACAATTCTGAGGGGAGTCGATCGCCCTCGAAGCGCTCGGTGGACTCTGGGTCTATTAGACGTCCTCTGGGCTGGATTGGCAGTAAGAAGTCGAACCCTACCAGGGCATTTAGGGATAGATTAAGGGAGCGCAATACATTCAAGTAAGCTGCCTTTGAAATTTTGTTTCTGGGCTTCAAATTTTCAGCGACAACTTTCTTTTATGTTCAAGGCTTATTTTGGCATGCTACAATATAGGGAATGTTCGAGTTGTTTTGACGAGATAATGGATAAAAACCTAATCAGCTTGAACTGTCAACACAAATACTGCCTAAAATGTTTTATGCAGCTCATTAATACCGCAATGGCTACCGAAAAGCTCTTCCCACCAAAATGCTGTCTTGAGGAGATACCACAACGACTTATCCTTGATAATTTGGACCATAATGGAAGAGATGCATTCAGATTGAAGGTGCAGGAATACACCATTTCTGAACCGCATCGGGTGTATTGTCCCGAAATAACGTGTGCGAAATGGATACCTCCCAACAAACTCAAAAAAGGCAAAAAGCCTAGTCAAAAAAGCTGCCCATATTGCCGCACTGAGATTTGCACACTCTGCCGAAGCCTAGCGCATGCAAACTTGAATGACTGCCCTCAAGACTATGGGCTGGAGGCTACACTGGAAGAAGCTGAATATCACGGCTGGAGAAGATGTTACAGCTGCCATTCTATGGTTGAGTTGACTGCCGGTTGTCGGCATATTACTTGTAATTGTGGATCAGAGTTCTGGTATGGCCGCTCGACACGCTTTCATTCATCGCTTCATATCCACTGACCAAACCGACACGATTTGCAGCTACACATGCGCAGCTCGGTGGCATACATGCGACTGTACAGAAGATGATCACCGACGTAGACAAGCTGAAATCGAAGCCCGCCGGCTGCAGAGGGATCGACAAATTCAAAAGGAGGCAGCTGAGATCGCAGAGGCGCTTGCGCAGATTGAACGCATGGAGCGCGAGGAAGCAATGGAGAGAGAACGGAGGAGAGAGGAGCAACGTCGCAAGGAAGAAGAGGAGCTCCGCGACAAAGAGATGAAACGGATGATGCATATCGCTGCCACACTACGGGGCTTGCGAACTGCTTTGTCAAGTGTCAATGAGTACCAGCAGACCCTCCTGAACAAGAGACACGAAAAGGCAGCCCATGGCCTCCACAGTAGGACCACAGCCGGCCCTTCAGTGGTGGAGCAACAGCGGGATAAGCTCCTGGAGGGTCTTCGAACAAACCAGAAACAGCGCATGGATCAACTGATAGTTTCACAAAAGGCTGAATTCGATAGCATGATAGCCCGCCATGAAGAAGAGGAGGACGACACACTCCTCACCGTCTCGCGCCATCTCAAAAAGAAAACCAATCGTGAGAGCAGAGAGAAGGCCATCCTAGATAAACTCGAAGCCTCCCAGGAAAGCGAAAGGCGCACCCTTGAACAAGCCCATCGGCAAGCAATCCTTACGCAGGAGCAGAATAACAATCTAGAGCTAAAAGCTCTCGAAGCCGGATTAGCACGCGACTACACCTCAACCCGCGAAACGGAGCTAGACACCACCTCCAAACTCACCCAAATGGTCCTCATCGATCGCAGCTGGTTTGCCGCGGCAGTCGAGAAACGCTGGATGATGCTTGATGAGTACAGATTCCGACTGATCGACACGGGCGCGGATATTAAGGAATTAGCTGCCGTGGAGGTTGTACCGGATTCTGTTGAGTTACCTGCCGACTCGGAGTTTGGAAATGCGAATGCTGAGGTTGTTTCTACTCCTATCCAAACCGCACCCGTGCTGGTGTCCGTAACATCTTCTGAGCCGGAGCCGTTGCTGGAGCCAGAGTTTGGACCCCAACATAGGCCTGTCGTTCCGGCGGCTCCATCGATGCTAGGCAAGCAGCTGACACCTGCAGCGGTGGTGCCGGCTCTTCCAAAGCAGAAAAAGAAGCGGGCATTTTCGCGATTGGTGAGTCAGTCACCGTATTCGCTGCTGGGATGATGGATTTTTTTTTCTTCTCTGCGGTTCATTATCCTTGTTTGTTTTCAGCACTGGCAGAAGCTTATTGAAACTGTTTTGTATCGCGCATCTATAAATCCTTTCCTGTATGTAGTGTTTGTAGAGTTTTTGAAACTTTGACCGTTATTTCTTGCCTTATTTTTGCTAAATTTTCTCGCAACAGATATGCTTTCATTAAATCTAATTATTCACAGAGTTGAATCAATTATTCTTTTTTAAGGACTTAAGTGCTACTTTAGTTTATATGAGAATTTATATCTACTCATCTTTTGTCTAGACATAAAATCAAAGACTATATACACATTTTAATTTAATGCTATTATCTTTATTAATTATATTTAGCTAGTTGTATTATTTACCACTTTTAAATTCTCTTTTAAATTTTTATAACTAGTGGTTATATGAAGGTGGATTTGTCTGTGTTCAAATATATGTTTCTATAATATTCAGCCAAGGCCTCTGAATAATTCATATATATTTTATACAGTGAGCTATCAATTGAACTGCAAAATCCGAAACAGAGGTTACACAAGCAATATAAAGTTGTCTTATTGCCTGAAAAGAGAAGCCTCTTTCAGTATTTGAAAGTCTTTCCTCTCTACTTAACTTGGCGAGTATCAAGCCCCTGGAGCTCAAAATGAATGCCGGTTTCACATTTCTCCTGAGGAGACGAATTCAATTAGCTCTTCGATCATGTTGGCTAACAGACACAATAACAGGAACGAAATACAAGAAGCCATTACCGATTCTAGCGTTGTTCCTTTCACCCTAAGCGCTGAATTCTTGACTAAGCCAAGGCCCATTGAGAGGAACTTAGCCCTGGTTGCAGGCACATTGGAGGCGAGTAATAGCCGTGGATATCGCGAAATTGGTGATGGAAGGTTTGGCAATGTGATATCGGAGAATCGAGCATATTGGGAGTAGAATTTAGGTTGTGAAACGGGTGAGATTTTGAGAAAACAATGTGTATGAATGAATGATGTCACTGGTGACCCATAAGACAAGCTGGGTTGGATGAGGGTATTAGGACAAATGAATGACTATATAAAACATAGCGGATTGTAAATCTTTATTTTTATATACATGTTGTCCATGCACCGGGTCGAAAAAGAAACGTTGTTCCAGAGGCCGAGTTTCTGACCCAATACATTGGATGTCGAAAAACAGCCAACGTCATCCCACCTACCATCTCCCAAAACAATCAATAATCATAGAACCCTTTGGAGGACTTTTTGCCCATCCAACCAGCATCAACCATCTTCTTCAACAATCCTGCAGGCCGATATTTGCTATCGCCAGTCTCGGTATGCAGCACATTCATAATAGCCAAGCACGTATCTAAACCAATGAAATCAGCCAGGGTCAGCGGGCCCATTGGCACATTGGTGCCGTACTTCATGATGCTGTCGATATCTTCCTTAGTGCCAATACCGTTCTCCAGACACATGATCGCTTCATTGACATATGGCATGAGGATACGATTGGCTAGGAAGCCAGGAGAATCGGTGGAGCGGGCCGGGATCTTGCCCATGCGTTTGACGAACTCCATGGTAGTGTCAATGGTTTCCTGGGACGTCTGTAGGCCCGTGATAATTTCCACGCCCTTCTGGACGGGGACGGGGTTCATGAAGTGGGTGGAGATAACTCGCGACGAGGCAGACAGGTCTGTAGGGTTCTTGGTGGTTGCAGCGGCGATCTTGGTGATGGAGATGGAGGAGGTATTTGTGGCAAGGATGGCGTGTGAGGGAGCGATTTCAGCCAGTTGGGCGAAAATGGATGACTTGAGCGCTGGGATTTCGGGAACGGCTTCTATTACGAAGTCTACGTCTTCGAGGTCGGAGAGGTTGGTGCTGGGTTTGATCATCGAGCGGATTTGGGTGGCGTGGTCTCTGGTAATACGCTCCTTTGCGACGTCTTTCTCAAGTAGTTTATCTATTTTGTTGTTTGTTGGTTGGCGGAGTTAGATCCCTAAATCCGCAATTGAGTGCGTTTTGCAATTGTATGAGGCATACCTGCAAATTTCAGCCCTTTATCGATAGAAGCTTGGGAGTTATCAATCAGGGTTACGGGCACGCCAGCCTTTTGGGCGGCAACTAGCGCAATCCCCAGACCCTATTCCACAGCATGTTAATATCCAATTGACAATGTATCCGGTATATTCAATACGTACCATTTGTCCAGCTCCGATAACTCCCACCTTTTTCACCTCCGCCGCTGCCTGAGCAATTGGGGATGTACTGAAGGATCTCGAGGCGATTGAGCAGCCCGCATTGGCGATGCACCGTCCGACAGTAACGCGGAACATCGTGACAGGTGAATGTTGAGTAGTGATAGAAGAACAGCTCCCCATGCAAAAAAATTAAGCGGTCGGCAAAGATAAACTTGGATATGGAACAGGGTGTCTGGCCTGGTGTTATCACATGATAATATGTCAATGGTTCTGGAGAAATTCGGTTATTCTCGGAGCCTGTATTACTGTTACAGAGGCCGCTGGGTCAAAAGTGCCCGATCACCACCAGCTCCGGGACGAACCAATCCAATTTTGTGGGTGAGCTTGGCAATAAAAGGTGATTCCCAATGCTGGAAGTTAGTAATTCCGTTCCTGATTAGTCAGTCACACGTCAGAAACGCGAGTTTACACACGCGAAAAATGATTGGACATAGAAATTGAATGAGAGTAGTAAACACTGGCAACGATATGATATCAAGACAGAAAACAACAACACCATCTGCTAGATATGACATTGATACCCCATTAACAATATCCCAAACAATATGGAGCCAGAGTCCATTCAATCAGGGCAGGTGGTGGATCCTGAAGTCCGCGCTTATGTCTTCAATCTCGTTTCTGCGGTAGGTCTATCAGGAAGGAAGCCAACCCAACTAATCATTAAAGTTTAATGGAAAGCTGACAGGATGATGAATTCTTCATATAGCTTGGAGGCTCTGGTAGTAGCAATACAGGGAAATATGTCTTGGGGGACGATGCCCTTGCCTGTTTGCGCGATATCAAAAGATGGCTCAAGTTCTACGACGAGAAGGCGAACCGTATGGACGTGGCCAGGTGCTTAGCGGAAACTAACCTCGTAAATCGAGACTTGATTCCGATTCTCGCACTTTTGGGGGATGATATTCATGATGATAAGTACAAGTCGAGAGTTTCGTTGGCTTGTTGTAAGTGCTCTGCGCTCTCACACCCCTCTTCCCAACGCATAATTTGTGAGTGCTGCTGATATGCTTCATTTTAGTGGAATTGCTTGTTCCTCTAACATGGCCGCTCGAGATCCATAGCCAGATGACAGTCAATCATCATAGACATATACCATACTTGCAGCATTCGCAGGTTTTGTATAAGCGTGGGATTCTTGGAAATGATACCACGGCCATTCTACGAACAATTATCCGTATTGCCTTGCCAAGCATGACCACTCCACGATCAGACCGTTCCTCACGAGACGAAGGGATTCTAAAATTAATGCTGTACCTATTCAGAAATATTGCGATAGTAACGCCTTCGCATCTAGCTGCCGAGGGCGACGAGGAAGAAGCGTCGAAGTCCGCTACCATAAACGTATTTCAACAACAGGATGTATTTGCCCTTCTACTGGCAATGTGCTCCAATATAGGAGAAGATTTTATTTACCAGGATGTGGTTATTCTAGAGATTCTATTCCATATTGTTAAGGGGGTCGATATAAAGAAGCTGTTCATGAATGATACTCAACGAAATATTGCGGGAACGGATGATCTTGAAGCTCTCCTGGATAAGGAATCGCATTTAAAACGGGAATACGCCAAAACTGCCCCGACTAGGCATGGGCGATTTGGCACGATGATCTGGGTGAAACGAGATGATGAAAAAGTATCCACTGTTTCCGGCCAGGACGTACTCAAAGATGACTGGACGACGATGTTGAAAATGGACAAATCAAAAAAGTGGGATAGGCCGAAACATAGAAAGGGGGACATTGACACATCGGTGAATAACTTTAATGTGTCATCTCCCTTGACGCCTTTGGCGACCAAACATTTAAGAACATTCGTTGAAGAGTTTTTGGATTCTGGTTTCAACCCACTCTTCTCACATATCCGCAAAGCCATTGAACGGGAGGCGGACCGCGTGACCGAGTCCACACCACGTCACTTCTTTTATGTAGTCGCTTGGTTCCTTGAGGCTGAGAGGGTTCGGCGTACCCGCCAACAAGAACTTCGTCAGCAAAATGCACATCTTTCGAGGGATTTCGAACCGGACGGTTTCCAGCTCGTTGCAAGCGTTCTCAACCAAGAAACTTTCATTGCTTTAACCAGACATATGCAAAACTGTTTAGATTTCAAGGATTGGCAGGATCTGAACGCCAGCATGCGGTGTTTTACGCAAATACTTCTGACGGTCCAGCAGATGTTTCATTCTGACATTGCTGAAGATCAAGACATTGCTGAGAATATATTGAGCAGAATATTCTATGAGGAGACAACACATGACAGGATATTGGCTATATTAAGGGTCTATGAAAGCCAAGGGTTCTGGTATTTGGATGCTTGCACTGAACTAGCCCATGTCTTCTTTCGATTATTGGAACAGTACTCGAAGCAGAATGAATATATGCAGATTCGATCTCGGAGACGAGCCAGGCGCAAACAACGTAAGAAAGCGGCTCCCAATCCTGAAAATGGCGAAGCTCAAGATGGTGACGAGTCCGAAGCCGAAGACTTGACCATGGAAGATGCAACTAAGACGATAGTGGAAAGATCTTTCAATTTTCAACGTTTCGCGGCTAAATTTTGCACCCAAAACTCTGTCAACACATTCCTTGCATTAACAGCATATTATAGGGAGCTCAACGAGGAGCAGTTGAAACGAGCACATCGATTTTTCTATCGTGTGGCTTTCAAGCAAGAGTTAAGCGTGTTGCTCTTCCGCGTGGATATAATTTCGCTGTTTTATAAGATGATAAAGGGTCCGAGAGGCCTTGATTCGACTAAGCCAATTTATGTCGAATGGGAGGAGCTCACACGACGAATTATTAGAAAGCTCGTCAAGAAATTAGAAGAACGCCCGGAGCTTATCACAGAAATGCTATTTAGTAAAATTAACGCCACTGTCTTCTACCTAGAGTATGGCCATGAGAGACAGACAGTGTCGCAATCGAAGGCTGCTGCTGAGTTGGAGGTGAAGCCCGGTGCTGCCAATACACTAGATTCTAAATTAGGCATTGTAGTAGCAGCTCTGCTCCTGGAAGGAAAAGAGAGCCTAGTACAATGGTTAATTAAAACCATTGACACTGCGGTAAATGAAAGGAGAAGCTGGGAGCTGGAAGCCGAAGCTAGGCGATCTGAATCTGGAGAGGAGCGTACCGCCAACACTCCTCCTTCAATAGGTATGTATAAGATATCGTTCTTGCCCGACAAAAATTATGTTGACAATTTTCATTAGCTGTTATCCCGTTTGATGATGCGTGTCGCACTGCCATGTTCAAAAACGGACGTTTCCGTCTTCTAATGACATCAGCTGGGCTTGAGAGGCTTGGTGTTGAGGACACACTGGGCTCCTCGTGGATAATCCCCTCGTCATTATCGGCTAGAACTCTAGAAGAAACAAAAAAATCAATTGAAAAACACAAGGAGAACCCACCAACCGAATTCGACGGGTTAGAGCCTCGTGATCTGCTACGTCGAAAACGAGACATCGACACTACGTTGTCCCACCAACGAACATCGGGTGAAGTGGATTTTGGAAACGATTCGGAGGGCGAAGATGACATTGATGATATCTTGTTCCCGCCAAATCTCCGCACTAGAGCCGACACATTAGATGAACTTAAAAAGAAGCGACTTAGGCGAGGGAAGAAGAACGGAAAGGATGGCGATGTCCTGGACGAAGCATCATTAGAAGCACGCCGTCTGGCACGACATGCTAATGCATTGGAGCGTCAAAGAAAAATCAAAAGCAGTTTATATATCCATGCCAGTGATGAGGAGTCGGATGAGGAAGCCGATAGAGAGTTCTTCGCGCGAGAGGAGGAGAGGAGGAGAAATCAGGCCATGCGCATCAAGCAAGCTTTATTGTCAGACGCCACCGGTGGAGATGATTTACCAGACCAAAATTCTTCCAGCAGAGCGAGGAAACGGAAGGGTACTGCAGACGAAGATGAAGTCAACAAACGTCGCCGGAACGATCATCTGCTACCCGATAGCGATGAAGAAGTTGATTTAACCAGCATTGATGGTCATCAGGACGATGATGAGGAAAATGGCCTGATGGTCACACAAGATGAACCATCATCGTCCTCCGAGACGACATCAATGTCATTTGGGTGGTGAACATGAACAAATAAGCGAAAAATCCACTTCTCCAACCTGACAGAGCGCCATCTAATATTCGGCATGAATGACGATGACTACTTTGATAACCCGTTTTACTTCGCCAGTTTAGTCGACAAGGAGAAAGTCTGGGGAGATGAAGGGGTTGGTAAAGAGGTTGGTTCAGACGAGGAGGAGGAGGAGCCCGGCGGCGCATGCTTGGCGCGTTCATCGTTGAGAATTTGGGAAGTATATGATGTTTCTTGTCCTCTGCCATTGTCCTCTGCCATTGAATCTCTTTTCTTTATGCATGTGATACGAGGGTTTTTATTTATCTTCTTGTTCGCTATTTTTTTTTTCCTGTACAACGACCACGATCATTTTTACGTGACCTTTCTAGAGGTATTCTCCGTACATTTGGGTTGAAACCTTATTTGGAAAAATGCCTTTAAACAAGCAAGTAGAGCGGTGGTGTTTTTTCATAATTCTCAGCTCCTTGACCTTAACCGATCCTACCTCGATATATCCTATCCTAGCTTTAATCCCTAACCGCTGATCATCAACGTCTAACCTCTAATTTTAACCCAAGCCACCCCTAGCTTAGTGTTGCAAGTTGCCAGAAATGAGTGTATCTGTTGGATATTATCTATCTAGCGGCAGCTAATATATGTTGGGCAAGTGAACGGAGTTTTGTGCTGGACCTGATTTAAGGTAAGTTAAGTTTTTGATAAACAACTTTAAGCCTTGATTGGGCAGGAGGGACAATATAAATAAAGTTTCATGTGTGGATGGATTTTATGATGGTTAGTCCTGAATTTCAAAGGCTAAAAAAACTACCACCACTTGTTCAATCATTTCCTGAAAATGCAAAACAACATGTAGAAAACCCGGAAAGAAAAGAAAGGAAATGAGAATAAAAGGGAACAAATAAAAGATACAAAATTAAAACGCCACAAACCCGAATCCAGAAGCTTATTAACCTAGCACTGAAAACTACCAAAATCAAAAATCTAGAATGAAATGATAAAAACTCCCAATCATCCGGCCGCCCAGCGCCACCCCTCTCAGGCGTCATCGGCCTATCCCAGCGCGCGGGGAAAAAACCGATCATCTGCGCCAGCAACAGCCTCGTTTACGGCGGCGGCTGCGAGATCGTCATCACCAGCAAGCGCGGGGCGAAGTTCGCGTTACCAGAAGTCAAGCGCGGCGTCGTCGCGTTGGCGGGCGGGCTGACGAGGCTGCTGCGGAGCGTGGGAAAGCAGCGGGCGATAGAGATAGCGTTGACGGGGAGAGTGGTCCCGGTTGAAGAGGCAGAGCGGTGGGGGATTGTTAATGAGGTTGTGGAGGATGGCGAGGAGGCGGATGATGTGGGCGTTGGGGAAAGGAGGGTGATGAAGCGGGCTGTAGAGGTTGGGGGGAGATCTGTGGCGAATAGTCCCGACACGGTGATTGTGAGTCGGGAGGGGGTTAAGTTGGGATGGGAAGGGGTGGGCGCCGAGGATGCGAGTCGGATGTTGATGACGGATGGGCAAGGCGGTTGAATGATCGCCACGAACGTCACGCAATTAGAAATAGGCTTGAGGAAAATGGGGCTGGGTACTAGATTCACCAGCTGAATGAATTGAGCCGTTGAGAACTATCATCGCCATTGTACGAAATGGCGACCAGAGCATTTAGAAAACACAAACCTCCCCCGTGGGATTGATGTCTGTGGTTGCACCTTTTCAGGGCTATTCTATTAATTCTCAGCCTGGTTCAATCATGTTCATCTGGCTAGCTTTCATTCTGGCAATATAACATGGGAGTGACAGTATCTGGTTTTTTCAAATAAAACCATGCGAATTACCCACTGGAGCGAGGCCGGCAGGAAGGGTTGTTCTTCGAAACCACCGGTGGTTTACGCGAAGCAGTAGGCGTTTCCGAGCCCGCACGCCGTTTCCGCCCTGAGTTTAACTGTGGAATTTTGTTGCCATCAACTGAAGCCTCGCAAGACGCTGAGCGTTTATTTGTTCTAGATCGTGTACTTATTTTGGAATTTGGAAACGGTGGCTGTCGATCATCTCCCGATCTTTCATCCAGAACTATACAACACAATGGCAAAGTAGATAGAGATAGAGATGGTTCAGCATCCTCATTTTCTCCTAGTAAGCTTCCTGTTGCATGAGGTACCGGACTCTGGGGCGCACTAGCTGGCCTAAACATAGAATGGAGCCGCTTCCTTGATTGGAATGATGCCAAATCTGCAGGATCTGGAGAATCTCGAGTAGCACGCTTTCTAACATTTGAAGTACCATTTGGACCAGGAGCGAGGTGTGAAGATTCTTGAGGTTCCTTTGTATTTTTAGGGCTCTGGGGTACAGAGCTGGGTAGGTTAGATGCATTTTCATCTGTGAAGGCGTCTCCGTTGGTGCCCTCCATTGTCCTAGAAGATAAGGAAAGTCCAGCCTCCCCTGTTGGTTCCGGGGACGCGGAAGGGATCTGGACTAAACCAAACCCATGTGAGCGGTACCTGTAGCGGCAAACAGGACGGTCGTCACTTTCTACAGCATTGTTAGCCACAGATTCGCTGGCAGGAGGGTTGTCTGATTGCTCGGAATCTTCATCATCGGGCTCTTCGTGAATCCAGGTCATCCCTGGCACATCATTGCCCCACTGCGGATTCCAGATCTTTTGCGTGAGCCAGCGATTCTTAACGTTTTCGTAGGCTTGGACATCGATATCAGTGCGTCCACTGTCTGGTTCGTCTTCAAGCCACTCGCGCTCTTTGGATATCTGATAAAGAAATTGATAGTAGGGGCGGGAAGCCCGCGTGTCACGTTCGTGTGCAGCCCTACGTTCCTCACTAACAATTTTCGGCCTTGGGTCCAGTGGGTCTGATGGCTCAGGCTCGGGAGACTCTTCATGTTTCCAGCTCGCCCCCCTAGCCCATCGCGGCCACTTGTCATTCCATATCCCTTGCTCTATCCACCGATTTTTTACATTTTTCTCTGAGGTCGTGTCGAAATCCTCCCCTATGGTGTAAGGCAACGTTTCTTTCCGTCTCACAAATCTTCTGTGAATTTGATCTATTATACGCTCCTTCTCTAAACTGCATTGAAACATAAATTGCCGTGTTGGTACAGAGTTTAGGCGTTCTTCTCTGCGCTGCAAGCGTCGATCAGCTTTAGAGAGATGGCGAAAAGGGCTAGGAGGCCGTGTCGTCTCGACCGATCTGTACGGCGGTGGAGGGTCGTTAAACATCGATCGCTCGCGGGTAAGAAGCTCCGGGTTGTCCTGCAACCTCTGAAGGGCTTCAATGATCTGCGGGAAACCGGCGGCCCCAAAGGCGTTCAATGTGACGACCATGATCACAAATCAGAGGGACAGTTGATCTCGGTTACATCATCAAATTTGTTAAAAAGAAATATCGTGGGTAGAGAAGGCCGCTCTGAGGCCAATATCGATGTGAGAAGAAAAAAATTTTTTTTTTCGAAGTGCGGAGGTGGTTTGAAAGGTTTAGTAAGGGCCCGGTCAGGCGATGCTGTGTTGTTGTTGGCTGGGGGGTGTGCATATGGTGTATATATAATGTCTGCTTGTGCGCCAGGATGACGCTGCCCCTAAATATGTTACCACCACCACTTCTGATATGCAACCAACCAACCAACCACCAACAACCAGCTGCCGCCGCCGCCGCTGCCGCATAGTTGGGCTTGCTCTGTCTTATTCCGTAAGTTGCCTCGTCCATGTCTCATGAAAGTCATGGGATTCCCCAGCCGCCCCAACCTCTCATGGCCAAGCATGCAAATATTACTTGTGGGATACAAAGCGCAAAAAGCCGGCATTTGCGTCCCGTTTGTCTCCCATTATTGAATCGCTGCTGTGTCGCTGTTCCATGCACGGATGCCTATCTCTACACCCTAGACTACTTGCATGAATTCTTATTAGCAAGGATGCATGCAGACCCCCGTCCTTGGGTAGCAGCAAACAAACATGGATCGGGTCAAACGCCCAAGCACTCGTCTCGTTTATAACCAGCGTCACTCCGTATTAATAACGGAGGCTGCTATGTGCCCTCCTCAAGTGCCCTTCAATCAATCATGTCATCTGGCAGCCTGGCTATCCACCTGTTTTCTCTATCAAACAAACTTCCTCTCGGGACTTGCCACTCATGGACATACGACCTTTTGCTTTGTCGCCGCGGCAAGTTCCTCATAGTCGAGCTTTATTTTCGCTCGTGCCTCTGAATCAAAATGCTCACTCTGTCATTAACAATCCACTCAACCGTCGTTTCCTATCCAGATTTGTTGACAATAACATGCAATACGTTGGATTAGACATTGGCTTCCACGTTCAGTCAAGTACGCGATATACGTTGGCAACTCTCGGGCGCAGCGGCGCTGATATCACCGTTGATGGACCAAGCATCTCTCGAATACAGTGCTCATTTGAGACCCATGCAGAGAGTGATGTTGTAATGCTATACGATCGGTCAAACTCGCAAACAACCGAGGTTTTTGGTGTTGGATGCGTACCATTTGAACCTGGGCGTCGCCGTAGGATCGTCGTGCGATCAGATGTCAACTGCATGCTCAGCATGGGTGGTAACGAAGAGGACCTAGTTCAATTCCGACTGGTGTGGCACCGGGTTGAGTTTAACGCGAATTATGAGGTTGCGAATCGGGTGGAAACCCCCATGCAGGCTCGAACCATAGACAACATTCCGACGGCGGCACCCAGTCGTCTCCCATCAATCCAAGTGCCTGTCCACCACGAGCCGCAAATAAGGTATAAAGAATTGGCTCCGCTTGGGGCGGGAGCTTACGGTACGGTTTCTAAGGTTATTGATATGGATTCTGGGAAATTCATGGCTGTCAAGTGCGTTCGGCCGCCCCCCGGCGGATTTAAAGACTGGGATCTCACTCGACTACAGCGAGAAATTGAGGCACTTTACAACTGTTCTCATGTTAGCCCAATCTTCCTGGCCCTCCTGTTCATGTTTCCTAGCTGATATCAACAGCCAAACATCATAGAATACATACGATACCAGAGGTTATCGGAGCGGTTCGAGATCTTCATGGCCTTGAAGGAAGGAAACGTCGATTATCTGATACAGAGGTGTGTCTTCGACGAGCACGAGCACTGCGGTAACAATCTTCTTCATCAAATGCTCAGCGCGCTAGATTATCTCGCCTCTTACGGTATTATCCATCGCGATGTTAAGCCCGCTAACATCCTTTACACCACCTTGGGTAAACTCGACTATCGATATTATCTCACGGATTTTGGTTTTTGCAATTCTGTTGATCAGGCTAGATCAGGGGTCGGCTCGCTCATGTATATGGCTCCGGAATTGCTACAGGGGAATCAATTTCCGCAGACACCTAAAGCAGACATATGGTCTCTATTTGTGACCCTGGCGTGGGCGGTGAATGCGGACAATTATAGGAGCCAAAACCTGTTCACAGCGGAGGAAATAGTTAGTGCGGCCCTAGATGCCGCAAGAACGGAACGCATGCATCATCTCAAAGATATGGCCGAAATTGAGCCAGATAAACGTGCTTCGTCATCGCAGATGCTTCTACGACACTACAACGGGATTGGCCGAACCATACCGCTTGAACAGGTCGAAACCACCACTTCTGCTAAGCATACCCAGGAAGATGTTATCATGGGCAGCACAAGCCCACAACTGGGATGGCCGCCGCCCGGTCCCACATATCCCTCACCTCAGACCGCTTTGACCACCGGACTCGGGATAAGTACCTTTGATGAGCGACCTCAATAGTGAGCTGAGGGTCCTAGCCGAGTCACAAACGCGTTGAGCGCTCAAAGCCAGTCTCGCCAACTGACTGATTGGTCTGATAGTAAGCGACAATCACCACAGCACAAATTTCCAAGCATGTTTTCGTGTAGACGATAAAAGTGCTGTACATCCCGGCTGTGATCATCATTTAGCAGCTCCACTTAATTGTCTATTTCCTCGATATTTCGACCCTCATATTTCTACCCTCGCTTTGCTCTCAAACATTTAACTCTTCCTTCCCTTTTCAGCAAAAAAGAAACGACTCGGCTAGCCTTCCCCTTCCCCACTTTGTCCCCCACTATTGGCAACGAGTCAATACACACTTGACATGTGTATGCGTTGTTAGGCACGTTTTCCCACTGCCATTGCCGCCAACATCCATGGAACTGAATGGCAGATCGCCAGACTCCAGTGGGGGACGCCTTTGCCGCCTTCCGTATCACAAAATCTAGAACAGCGTGTGGGAAGAGGTGGCGTCGTCAATCCCATAAATGGAGTTCGAAACAGCTTTGTGAGATGCTAAATAGGGAATTAGAGCTTAAGCCGCCACTTTTTCTATTTCCTTTTCGGGATTTTTTTCTTTTTTCGACACGACGAATTTTGGTGAAGACATATATATACATGTACATACGTACACCCCTAATTTTTTTCCGTAATTGACGGCTCCTGGAATCATGGTCGACAACAAATGCCAGCGGAACGTTGGGAGATGAGCAGTGGGACAAAGGTTGATTGAGACGGACTCGTGGTGTTCCTATGATGAAGGACAATGAAATTTCAGAGTAGGCGGGCAGGCGGCAGCGAGAGAGACGGAGAGAGAGAGAGAGAGAGAGCACACCTGTGTGCAGTATGTGAAAGTGGGAATGTCAGAAACACAATTTCGCGCCCGTCTGCGCGTGAACCCATATTCACACCATTTCGGTTGTTAAATTCTTCTCTACTACGGATATGTCTTTCCGGATTCTGAGACTCGGGTACTGAGAAAAAAAAGGAAATCTTCAAGATCTCTTGACGAAATACACTGAAAGTGTGAAGACTCGCATGACTCTCATTTATCGGTTTTGGCAGCAGTGGGATTAGCCCGCCACAAGTGGAGAAATTATCTATCCCTGCCTTAATTCTCCAGCCAGCATGGGGCGCTAGTTCCATGATTTGGGACGTGTGTGTGATTCAAAGATTGCTTGACCAGTAGAAGCTTCTAAGCTTACACTGCTCTTTTTATAAAAAAATGCCGAACTACGCCGTGTAGTGCAATCCTCTATCATTGGCATACACTTCAGAAGAATAGTTATTCAAAATTACTATATTCTCTTTCATCAAATTCATCTATACTCTCATAATAAAAATGTAATTCTGCTACAAACACTCATCACTGCAAAGCACTGGTTTATGTTTATAGTATGATACTACTTATATGTTTTATAATTTCAATCTCAGAATATTGTCACAGCTGATACTCTTATTATTCTGTAAACTCTTTAATCCGACCACAACAATAATGAGATTACCCATCCCACATTAACAGAGTAGATGGCATTCTCAAAAAGTTAAAGCACATGTTGATAACTGTCTTAACTAGTTAACTAGTTAATGCTGCAATCATTCAACGTAGAAAAGTAAATGATATCATATCATGTGGTCAGACTAACAAGAATGTGTTGCCTGCTTCGGCCTAGCGCTGGTGCCTTAGTGCGGGCCTCTTACACTTACATAACAACCTCCTCGCGTTGTTTGGCTGCTATACTCAGTGGACAGCTTGTTTATGGCTTCATTACTCCATACTTTCCCATGACAGAAGACCCAAGCTGTATCACCAAGATATAAAACCCCTAATGGACAGCCTTCGTTAGGTCTAAACATCCCCCGCTCTCGCTCTCCACATCTCCGTATGCCGACGCGCCTCCTCCATGTTCAATTCTCCCACTATTGTGGTCAGCGCATCAAACACTGCCCAGAAGCCGCAGACCACTGGCACTGATATACCACAACCGCGGCTTCCAAGTCGCGCATCGTTCCAATCGCCTACCAAAGCTAGCCTCTCCCGCTCACACCCAGATGTCCTCGCACGTGTTCTGAGCCGCTCCCCACCAAAATCAGCACATCAGAGGCCAGTGAGTCGTGGAAGGGAAAACGCTAGTCTCGGTATAGGAGGTGTGGAAGGTGGACGATCTGGGGTATCGGGAAGTAAGCTACCTGCACCGTCGCCGCTGTCCACGACTTCGGCATTGGTGACTGAATTGCCGATTCGACAACCGACCCGGCAACTTGTCTCGCAACGTCATGGATCAAGTGTTCGTGTTTCTGCGTCGCAATCACTGTCAATGCCGTCACAACGATCGCGGGCCTCGTTCTCGCTGGAACCTGGAATTGAATTGCCCGAGCCACGACTTCCTTCCCGAGCTAGGGACCCGGCAAGTGGACAAACTGCCGATGAAACAACTGCCGATGGGAGACCTACGCGGTCTTCATCATCCCCCACCCAAGGAAATGGCGAGCCAGAGCTACCTCCAACTCCAACTGAGCTGGGTTTAGAGAGATTGCCTAACCGTCCGAGAGGGTTGTTGAGCAGCAGTAGCCCAAGCTATCGCCAGGAGAAGAAGAGGAAGCGAAGGACAAGGGATGCCGTGAAAAAACCTAGCCCACTTAAACCTAAAGATGCAGACATTACTGGAAATGAACCTGGCGATGGGATTGCGTCCCCGCGCAGTTTGTTTCCTGAGGAAGATTACGTTCCTAATAAATTTGGAGATAAACTAGAGCTACGCAATGCGCTCGCAGCTCAGTTAGCAAGGCTGAAAAAAGATATTTCGAAAATAGAGTATGAGACGCAAAGATATGAGAAACCTGACCAATATCCAGCACCGGATACAGAATCTATTAAAAATCTAATGTAGGTTTTGGTTTTATTCCCACACTCAACAAACTTTCAAGCTAACCAACTATTCTAAAGCGAACTCCTCACGACCTCTAACCCCTCATGCGCCCCTCCACCTCCAACGCGGTCCTCCCAACCACCAGTTTCTTCTCTCCTCTGTTTTCTTTTGCCATTTGCATCTCCCCGATGTACTCCCATAATTAAACCGGCCCCGCCTACTTCAACCTTCCCTCCTCCACCAGAGAACCCGTTTGCTCTGCAACAGCCAGCGGACTTGATACCATATCTCACGCTCTTTGCGCCCCTCTCCCTCACTGCACATACGACGACAGTTTCCACTCCGATTGCTTCAATCTCACCACAAGAATCATCGCAGTCACCAACACTCCTTATTACCCAAACACACAACCTTACTTTAGTCGCACCCCATCCCTTCCCTGCCCGCCTCTTTCAGATTCCTATAACCCTCCAAACCAACCCGGAAAGTCAAACAGTTATCTCCATTTCTATCCCTACACAATCGCAACCGAATCATTCTGATACAAAATCAAATCATAATATCCCGACCGCTCTCTTCTCCTGGTTACAAACCCGACTCTCAAACCCCCTTCTACATAGAGATATCTCCGGCCTCTGCTGGGGGATATCCCGATACTGGGAAGCCGATTTATCGCGTGCCAAGCTATGGGCGCAACTGGAAGAATTACGGGACCGAATAATGACTACATTATCTTCGTCGCAGAAAGGATCTTTACCAAGCCGTGACGATAACGACAGCAACAACAATAACAGCAAGACCAGGCAACTTGACACCCCACGAGACCTCCTTCCACACCTTGGCCAGACCTCTTTTCTCTTCTCTGTAGAGACACGGCGACAGCGTCAAGAAATGCGATCCGAAATAATTGTCACACGCCAATCATCACCACAGCTCCTCGTTTCATGTCCGCTTACGTTGGATTTATGGACAAGCGAACCCCAGCTGCAGCCAGATATTAGCGTTTCGGTACCGCTATTATCGCCTGTAGGGAGTTTGGAGAAAGTGGAGAAGGAGGCGAAGTCGGTTTTTGCGAGCTTTTTAAGGAATGGTCGGAGAGGGAAAGAAGGTGGATATGGACAGATGGAGATTGATGGGGATATCGCGATGCTTGTTCGGGCTGTTGAAGGGGTTGCTAGGCTTCTTTTTGGAGTGGTGTGAGCGGCCATCGGAATGGTTGCTTGCTTTTATAGGTGGGCGGTATTTGCGGTTTTGTGTATATATGTATTTGTATGCCCGGCTTTTTTTTCTCTGTTTGTTTCTTTTTTAAGATTTCCTTTTCCTTTTCTAAAGTGACGAAGGCTTAAACTTCCCCATGTCCCTATTTTTTTTTCGTTGGTTGCATCGGAAATCAACATGTATGCAAGGTGTAACGGCAAGGAGTTGGCGCAACTTGGAAAAGGAACCTTTTTTTTGAACTGTTGTGGAGGATAAATGGAGTTGTCCTTCGTCCTTTTCTGTTTTCCTTTGTTCTACTTAACCCATTCCACAGCAGTATCCATGCATGAGGATTATCAAAACAATGAGATTTGTAATGTTCTTATTAGTCCCATCTAGCTGATGTGTTTCGGTGTGATTGATATGCACATAAATATTGTTGGGGGGTTGGATTGGTTCGTCCCCTCTATTGCCGGAATGGCGCTGGTGGTGGTGATTGAACTCTTCTGTCCTATGGACTAACAAATATATAGTCTATGGGCGTGTCGGTAGTTACCAAGCTGAACATCCATTTCGTTGAAACTGGAGCCAACTCTGCATGGTTTTCTTTTTATTGTAACAAACTTGTAAATAGGGATGTTGCTTGCAAATAATAGGAGCTGGGGTTTGTGTCCTTTCCCCTCTTTTTGGGCTGCTCATTCTCGAACAGGGGAAATTTGTAAACCGTGTCACTAGTAGCTTGAAGGAACGCGGCTACGGACAATCTAGTGACTAGAGAAATCGGGGAAAACTTAAATACGGAGTATTTATGTCATGGATATTTGTATTTCTCTCCCATTATCAGAGGCAGTTGCCAGTTGCCAGTTGCCAGGTGCCAGTTTCTTATCTCTTTTCAAACAATCCATAACATAGCATACTCTTTCTCCATCTTCTTCCACAACCCCCTCCCCCTCCCCCACCCCGGCTCCCCTCTTCCTCGCGTAGACAACAAATCATGTGTCAACCAAGTAATATCCGACGAACCCAAGCAACCCGCTCCGTCATCAGAATCAGCATTAAAACGGGAGATGAGAGCAGCAATAACAGCACAGAGAAGAAGGATAAGACGAGATAGAACACTTCGACAAAGTGACGGCCATTCATGATTTTTTCACCTAATTTTTTCTCTTTAGGAAAAAAAAAAATGGAAAGAAGCTCACTGGACGTCCGATTTTCGTTGCGAGTGATGATGGTGGAGTGCGTAGACGTAGAGGCGGTGCTAGTGCTCGTTCTTCCGTTTTGGTAGATTGCGTTTAAAAAACAAATGAAATAAGGAAAAGCAAGGAAATACAAGGCAAGAGAGAAATAGACCCATTTATCAAACTCCCTTTTTGTTAAGAATTATATTTTGGCTCTTTTCTCTCTCTATTTCTTCGCCGCTGCAGCCTCTTCAGCCTTCGCCTTAGCCCGCTTCTCCCGTACACCAACTAGTCTTGCTTCGCTCCGCGCGGCTCTCAATTTTCGGTATGCGCCACCTTCGACACCAGCACCTAGGTCACGCTTACTGATTTCCGAAACGGCTCCGGCGTGGCTGATGTTATTCACAGGCAAGAGGGCGGTGATTTTCTTGGCAAAAGTGTCCTGGGCAGCCTTTATCTCATCGGCGGAGGAGTCGAGCTTCTTGTGTTGGCCGGCACGGCGGGGGAAGAGGATCAGGCGAGCCCTGTACTCTTTTAGGCGAGCGACGTTGAGAGTGAGGGATTCGGTAGAGGCATTGACGCGGCGGTGGTCAACCGCAATGCCGATTGTTGGCGCGAGTTTACGGGGTATTCCAGCTTCCTGTGTTTTTGAGAGTTAGCGAGTGATTTGTTGACCTGTTATTGCCTCCAGTTGCGGATCGGGTAACGGAACCCCTCAAAACCCTAGGGATAGGATGTCGTACTTTCAGTTCTTGAAGGGTAAAGCCACGCCCAGCTCTCACGCGACGATTGTATTTGACAGTAGGGCACCGAACGACAGGCCGAAGCTTATCAACAGGGCGCGGGGCAACAGCAGCCGCCTTTGCGAGACGAGCCTCCCGACGACGGTGTTTGCGACCAGGCTGTATGTATAAGGGGTAAGGAGGGTTTTGTCAGTTGTATAAATTTCGATTTCTACAAAAATTCACTTTCTCGGAGACATAGATATTTTCGAACGTTTGGGGTTGCGTTAGGAGTGGGTGGATAGCGGCCGGAATTTCGAGATTTTGTTGGTAACATACCTGGTCGAAATGTACCCGAACACGGCGAGCCCAGTCCTTGTGGAAATCTGCACACACACAACAAAAGTAAGTCTCTCCGTTGCCTCTGCAAGCATAGTGTCTAAGTATATTGGTAGAATACAAGAAGACATTTAAAACTCACGATTTTTCGGGATGGTCTGGTTATGCTTGATCGCCTATATATAATCACACGCGCACCCACAATGTACAGGTCAGCCATCCATTGCATTTCGCCACTTAACTTCTCTTCTATTTCCTCTCCGAGCAGAAACTCTCGGTAATAGGCATAGACATACCATGGTGACGGATGGGGATCAAGGAAGTTGAAGGTGATTTGCGTGCACGGTGGTCGGTGGTCGGTGGTCGCTGTTCAAACAAAACGAGACGAAGAAAGAATGAGATGCGCATATGTGTGGTGATGCATCACGTGGTGCAACGGGCGCCAAGGATTCTTCCACTTGTGGCTCGCTTAGCGATACAAATTAGCCCTAGAAGCTTCCCAATCGGGTAGTCAGGACGTCAGATAAGCCTGCTACAATGCTCTATATGGGTATTCAGACGACGAGGAATTGCAACTGGGTTTGTTGAGAATATTCTCAACTGAAATGGGTCCATTAGTTGGGAAACAGGTAAATCCCAATGTTGATATATGAAACTCCTGGGACCTATGTTCTAATGAGTGTGATGAATGATATATTGTTTTGAGATACTTAGTATTCATATTATTGCAAATAAGCCAAGGCAGATAATTATTTCTCCTTCAGGCACAGCATCTTTTATACATAACATACTAATCTCTATATCTCCCTCATCCTCCTGGTAAAGCCAAAAGAGAGCAATAAAAGCCCAAACGAGAATCACCGGGCACATCCGAGCACATTTATTTCATCTCAAGAAAGAAAATACCCAAGAAGTATGAATGAAAAATATAAACATGGAAAAGGTTCCACATTTGGAATAACGAGACAACGGAAAACCAAAAGTCGTTAGAAAGCCCTTGCCAGAGTTTTGTCTTCTGTGTCAAGTTCGGTCGTTACAATCGCATATCGCAAGACAAAATAAAAGGGAAAACAGGAGGGGAAAGAAAAATATCATCGTGGACGTTTCATGAAGTCATAGGTCGAAAAAATAGTAGATCAGTTCCCCTGATCAACTAACCAAACGTTAAAAGGGGTGATAACGAAATTGAAATATTTCGAACAGGAAAATCCGTAGATTGTAAAACAAAGGAGAAAAAGACAAAATGAGCATAGGAAAACCAAAAGACAAGACTCATCATATCAACCATCAACATGACACAAAAAAGCAAAGAGCAAAAGAAAGGCTCCCCAGAAAGGAACAAATAACCAAAAGGAAAGGACTCAAGACTGAATTCCGAGCCCAACCTGCTCTCCAAACCTTTGCCTCTTAGCCGCAATCTCCTCCCCGCTATCGCCATTGCCATAACTAATAGATTTCCGCTTCAGGATATTATTACACTTATCTCCACTACTCTCCCGCTCAACGCCTGCCTTCTTAACATGCCCAAACAACTTGCTTTGTAGGATAGAGCTAGATTTAGAAATATTCGAACTATGATGTTGGCGATGATGCTGTTGCTCCTGGCTGCTGCTGCCGCCAGGATACCGGCGGAGCATGCTCGTAGCTAGCGAGCTGGCCTGCGAAGCGGGGACGTCTTGGTCGGTAAGTGCCTCTTCGTCGTCATCGTCAGATGCGGATATCGTGCTATCGCGATCATGACGGTCAAGCTCTTCGCCCTCACGGAGTGAGATTGAAGTAGAATCGTTGTGGTGGTTGCTGTGACGAGAGTTTGGGGTCCGTTTGTTGATTGGAGTGAAGAAATGTCCTTGGGATTCTCTGGCACAGGATCGTTGCGGGGTTACAGGAAGGGAGGATACGGGGTGGGTCCCGCAGGTGCGGTCCTGGTGGTGGTTGTGGTTATGGTTATGGTTGTGGGGTTGGGAGTGGGAGTGGGAGTAGCGGTGGGAGTGACTGTTGTGTTTGTGGGAATGACTTCGCGATGGTGTAGAGTGCACGCTGACGTTTTCTCCATGCAAAACTTGGCCGGCTGCAAGTAGTGCAGCGATCGGATCCTGGCTGCCAACTCCGCTCACATGACTTCGGCCACTATCTGGGTATCGAGGAGTAGTAGTTTTTCTTTGAGGGGTGAGAAATTCGGTTTGTGGACTGGATGCCAGAGATGCATGGCCCAGCATAAGAGTAAAGTGCTCACGATTTTCACGTATGCGCTTCTTAAGACGGCTGTTCTCCTCGAAGAGCAGCTCGTTCTTGTCGGTTTCATCTTCAATTATTCGTTTAGCTCGACGCAAACGGCGTTCCAGTGTGACGTTCGCGTCCTCGAGCTCTTTGATCCGTCTCAGTGTGGCATCTGCCTGACGAGGTTTGGGAGACAATTCAGGGGATTTCTCCAAGCTGAGGCCGCGTCGATGGCGATATTCTATACTCTGCAAAATCTCGACTTCCCTTTTTGCCAGCCGCTGTTCCACTTCGGCTTTGTTTATCGCCTCACTGCTGGTGAGCGATAAGAGGCTGTGTTGAAGTTTGAAGTGAGCAGCTGACATGCGGAACTCCTGTGCAAATACGAGCAGTTCTTTTGCAACTTTTCGTAATTGCACCTCATCTGCATTGTCGATATCTCTCGAGGATGGGAGATCTACTGACGCGCCATATGCTACGCAGAGTGTTTTGTCAATGGTGGCCGGTGGTGAAGCGAGGAAGGTGTCTGAATCTGAGCGTGGTCGACGGAAGGGAGTAGCTGCAGCATCGCCCATATGTTGTGACGTTGATGGAGGGGGAGTCATATTGGATGAAGAAGATTTTCGTGGGACAGGCGAGCGGAGCTGATCAGACATGGGGGGGTATTGGCATTGGTCGACGGCTGGCCGACCTGGAGAGGCTAATAGACTAACCCGAGAAGGAATTGGGGTGCTTGGGATCTTTATCTCCGCTGGAGGTGCCAATGAGCATTGGGACGACCTCTCTTCAGTCCCCTTTGTCGTCATCGCCGTCATCGACAAGAATGGAGAAATAAGGAAGGCAAGTCGATACGGATATTCGTGAAGAATTCCGTTGGTGATAATTTAAGGAGATTTGGTACACGACGAAGAAAGAGAAGAGCAGAAAGCCACGTCACAGTCGAAGTGATTGAGCAAATCGAGGGACAGGAAGTTCCTGGCGGGTCTCTGCTTACTTTAGGACTGATAATCCTCGCAACTTGGCAAGCCCAAAGACAAAGTGTTTCGAGGGCATATAAATATGTAACCGTCTACACACACGTACACACACACCACGCATATATATATATTGCAATAGATGAGGCGAAGTTGATAGATGGTTTGGCCGGGACCTCAGGACGGAAAAGGGAATTTTTAAGTGGAAAATGGCAAGGCGGGCAAGGAGGCTGGGGGTTTGCCGTGGATTGTTGTGGAGGCAACGGATGGGATGACCCACTTTTGTAAATCAACAGGCGAGACCACGTTCAGTATCACTATGAGAGCGGTATACCGAATACCGATATTTGCAAACAAGCAACAACAAGAGAGGCAGAGAGAGAACGGATGAGCGGAGAGGGAAGAAATAGGAAAATGGCAATACTGTGATGTTGGTGGAGGTTGCTGACAGAACGTTCAGGCGAGGAGGGTGGAAGCCGCTCCCAAACAAGAAATTCGGAGGCTAGGTTTGATCACCAGCCACATTTGATGAATCAGGTGACTGAAGAGATATCTTCATACGGTTAGTTCATCGGACGCTCCGGAAGAATAATGTCCCGGTGTATCTTATCCCAGAATGGAAAAGTCATATCAAATTGCCCCATTCAGGGATAAAGCTTGGAGAAGAAAGTTACACAGCGGACAAACCTCTCCTCGATAACTACATCGGAATCTTCTACATAGAACAAGACAGCACTGCTATTGGTGCTATTGGGAGACAAAACAGGAGCCACAAACCAACATTCTACTGGATTCCCTCTCCAATTGGCTCTCCCTTAGCTATGCATCTCGTCTTTAGTTAGGTACCTGACGCTCATCGATTGTTACCCCTTGTCAGAATCTATCCAGAACCATGGATCACGGCTATTCCATCCCAAAACATCCCAGTGGCATACCGCGGCCCATGTCCAGGCTCCCACTACCCATCTATTCTGCTTCTTCCAAATCGATCAGACCCTCCCCATCTCGCGAGCGACTACAGGCTGATTCAGGGTTAAACTTGGAGAGATTGCGGAGGCCGTCACAGGAACTATTTAAGAAGCCCCAGCTTCCGTCTCCCGCGAAATCTCGAGAGAGTTCATATGGCCAAAATGATAGTTTGGATAAATGGATTACGAACTCAGGTGGTTCTGTGGCGGAAGATGAGGATGAGGGAGATGGAGACCACCGTGAGAATAGGTCTTCCAGACCCTCACTATCAGATCGAACTATCGAAACTATAGCTCAGATCCCGTCTTCCCCGTCTCCTAGCAAGAGGAAGTCGACTTTTTTTTCTCCTGAGAGCCCCATGGCATCACCTTCTCGCCCACCTTCTTCGTTGAACAACCACCATCCATGCCCATCCTCCCTCCAGCATGGCACCAATGGATCAGCTCCGCAGTTCTCCTCCATCACACGAACTGTGTCCACACCCCGAACACCGTCTAGTGCGCCTAATATGGCCCAGCCAACCTTCCTCAAAAGATCGGTTTCTATGTATCGAGATTCTCACTCGCGGTCTTCGATAAACGGCGCTGGTGCCACACAGTTGCCGACTCACAATAACGTCTCTGCCGTTCCACCAATATCAAAGAAAGAATCGAAAACACCAGCAACTGGCCCACGAACATCGCTTTATGGGGGTAGCAAAAGCGTGTCAATCAGACCACCAAAAGGGCGTCCATCACTGGCTAGTAACAGTTTCCCGAACCAAGTAAATAACGAAAGTAATGGCAGTAACGTCAAGAAGGCTGCAGCTAAGACACCCGTAACGAAATCCCGAAAATCTTCCTCGACGCTTTCTTCCAATCTCACCTCTCCCACATCTACAACCTCAAGAAAATCACGACGGACTTCAGTGACATCCAACTGTAATCCCTCGGATTTAGCACCTCAAGAACTAGATACAAAGAAAGCTGCAAAGTCATCAAGTGCTCTTCGAGAAAGTATTGCCAAAGCAAAAGCTGCGAAAAAAGCCGCAATGGAGAATAACGCTAAAAATGGTCTGGGCGAAGCTCTGGGTCCTGTTGACCCTATCGATCCCTTTGGGCAACTGTCCAAATCCGAGCCCGATAAGCGCGTATTGAAGAATAGGGCTGCTGCGGCAAGAACATCAGGGCACCTAAATATCGCCGCCATGGGATTAAAGGAGATCCCGGAGGAGGTGTTGAATATGTATGATTTTGATCCAGAAAGTGAAGGCGATTGGTATGAGAGCGTTGATCTTATAAAATTTATCGCGGCGGATAATGAATTTGAATCGTTATCAGATGCTGTATTTCCTGATGTTGATTTTAATATCATGGACATGGATGAAAACGCCAAGGGGTATCAATTTGGGGGGCTGGAAGTTCTAGATCTTCATGGCAACATGTTAACTACTCTTCCCAAGGGTCTACGAAGGCTCCAACGGCTGCGCTCGTTGAATCTTTCCCACAACCAGTTGGATGTGGAAGCTTTCGAAATCATTACCGAAATTTCGGCACTAACTGACTTAAAACTAGCAAATAATAAACTTGGGGGCAGCCTGACTCCCACTATTGGCGCACTCTCTAAACTAGAAGTGCTGGATCTCCGTGAAAACGGCCTCACTGAACTTCCAGATGCCCTATCTGACCTCACCACATTGCGCATTCTTAATGTTGCCGAAAACCAGTTGACTTCGATCCCATTTGAGGCTCTAAAGGCCCTTCCACTCGTCGAGATTAATGCGCAGAAGAATCGTCTTCAGGGACATCTTGTTCCAGCCTCAGTTACACGCTTGGAAACGCTGCAAATTTTGAATGTGACTAGCAACTTCTTGGAAAGCCTTTCTCTCGGCGAAACCCTGGAGTTACCAAACCTCCAGCAGCTATCTATAGATGCAAATCGTATCAAGGCTTTGCCAAACATCTCAACATGGAAGTCACTCCTAACATTAACTGCAGAGGATAACGCTATCGGTTCAATTCCGGAGGGCTTCTTACAACTCGAAAACATAAAAGTTGTCGAGTTCACTGGTAACAACATAACAACGTTGGACGAGAAGCTCTCTCTATTAGAGAATCTTATCTCCTTCCGTATAGCAAACAACCCGCTCCGAGAGCGCAAATTCCTCACCATGGACACCGACGAATTGAAAAGAGTCCTACGCGGCCGATGCGAACCCGACCAGCCAGAAGCAGAGGAAGAAGACGGGTCAGTCCAAACTGAATTCACCCTCGCTCCAGAGAGCCCAACAACCGCCAACGCCTGGCGCATAAAATCCGGCGGCGTTCTCGACTGCTCTTCCACCGATTTGGCCAGCCTTGACCCAGCGGACCTGGAACCCTTCCTCGCTTCCTCCGCAGCGATAAAATGCCTCTACCTGCACCACAACCGCTTTCACAGTCTTCCTGTAGTCAGCCTCTCCCTCCTCTCCCACACTCTCACTGACCTCGACTTCTCACACAACCCCTTTTCCTCCACCCCCACAACACCCCTACTAACAACGCCGCTGTCTCTCCCACATCTCCAAAACCTCACGTTAAGCTCCACAGGCCTAACAACTCTCGAGAACCTCCAACGCCACCTCTCTGCTCCCAACCTCACCTTCCTCGACGTCTCCAACAACCGCCTCATGGGAACCCTACCGCACATCCGACACAGTTACCCATCCCTAATCACCTTCCTCGTGTCCGATAACCAAATCGACAGCTTGGAGTTCGACGCCGTGTGCGGCTTACAGGTGCTGGACGTCAGTAATAATAGCATCTCGTTTTTGCCGCCTAGATTGGGACTGTTAGGGAGTGAGGGGACCGCAGGAGCGGGGAATAGTAAGGGTTCTGGCGTTTCTGCTGCCGGGGCCACGACATGTTTGCGCCGATTGGATGTGGCAGGGAATTGCTTCCGTGTCCCTCGCTGGCAGGTTGTGTCGAAGGGGACAGAGGCGGTGTTGGAGTGGTTGAAGAATCGGATTACTGCTGAGGAGCTAAGGGAGTGGGGAGTTGTGGAGGAGGAGGGTGTGGATTGAACATGGTTTCATTTATTCAGAGAAAGAGAAGAAAGCAGGGGGAGGGGTGTTTCTCTGGAGACCTTATGGCTAATACCACCGCCATTTATTAAGTTGGTCATGTAATTTTTTGGGATCTTTCTTTTAACTTATTTGTTTATTTTAACAGCTTATCTGTGTGTATTTCTGTCGGCATAGCTCGCTTTCTCTCGTTTTGACTACTTTCTATACCGAGATCCCTTGTTACCCCATCTGCATTATCTTCTCTTTTTCGGTCCCTTATTTTTACTGTATCGCTATGGTCAACCTCTTTTACCTGATGATGCCGCTTACGAGAAGCTCCAGTTATCTTTCCACGCGTGGGGTGATACTATCTTTTCCCGGCTCTTCTAGATTCTTTCATCGTTTTCTTCATTTCGAGCCTTGCATTCTTTATTGGCCCTTTTTCCCACACCTCCAGGATCCCACTTTTTTCAACTTTGAATCTGCTTACGGGTTTTTTCTCATCCCTGCTCTTCCTGTATTGATATTCCTTGCTCTGCTACTTTCTTTGCTCTTCCTTTCTTTTCCCTTTCCTTTAATATATTCATTGTACCCCCCCATATGCCTACCGAGATATAAATTAGATGGAATTCATAGATCATATAGAGTTTTTATATGCAAACAATGCTCCTTAATAATGAGGAAATGGATGGGGGGGGGGGGGGGGGGAGTTATTCCATGTTTTCTGGTTCTTGAAACCAAAATCACTATGCGCCTGAAAAAGTTGTTACTAGGATACTTAATTATATACCCGAGTGTATATGAACCAAACATCCCCCTTCCTAGCCCGACATGAGCATTTATGCACTTGTTTGCCTGCTGCCTCCGCTGTAAAAATAGTCTACGACTCCACTCCCTTCGCTTTCCCCTTTGACCTCGTAATTTCCTCAACAACCCTCATCCACGTATCCGCCCATTTCGGAAACTTATCTTCTTCACCCGGCGCATTCTCCTCTCCTTTATCATTTCCTCCACTCTCTTTGCACCGTACATTGTCATTGCTACTTCCAATGAGTGGCATCCGCGCCACTTCAGCAGCTGCAAAAGCGCACTTGCAGAGTTTATTAGTATACATGACCGCATTGTCGATGTCGTGATCATATAGGGATCCAGCAGCTTCGTCGACAAGGTTGGGCAGTTCTCTTAAATGTTGGAGGAGATGGTCGAGTTGGGAGATTTGGGTTGCAGAGAGGGAGAGGCTGTTATGACGTTTCTGTTGCTCGTCTCTGCATGTTGGGGAGGACGAGATATTTTGCCTTGTCAAGCGGTGGGAAATTATAGCTGGATATATCTGGGCGATCGGATTGAGGAGGCGGAGGAGATGGGCCTTTTCAAATGAGAGTTTTGCGATGGCGGACGTGGTGTCGTCTTCGCTGCCTTGGCCGCTGGCTTTGTCTTTCCCCTTCACCATCCCTGAACCCTTACTGAAGATCTTATTCTCTTTACACCAAAGCTCATCGCCATTATTGCGGGCCACTTCATAATCCCAAAACAGATCATCCTCACCATCATCGTCATCCTCTTCCGGATCCCACTCCTCCAGCTCTCTTATCCCATCCCTAACTAGCTCAAAGTACTGCCTCACCTTCCCCACCACAAACACAGCAAGTCCTCCGTCTGCAAACGACAGCAGCTGCTCACACACCTTCCACAACCGCCCCGTGCATGCCATGACGTCTCCCTTCTGCTGCTCCGTCACGGTCACTTCCTTTCCATTATCCCCACCACTTCCCCCATTCGCAATAACCTTCACCACCTCAATCAAACCCCCAAACTCCCTCAATATATCTTTAACAAGCAATTTTGCCTCATTATGAAACGCCTGCGTGGATTCCGCTGGTATCGTGAGAAGCGCAGCGGTGACGAGGGAAGGGAGTATGGATTCGTTTACAACTGAGAGGACGGTAATGAGCGCTGAGGGCGTGAAGGGGGTATTTACAGATAGGAGAGAGAGTTTTGTTGTTTGAGCTTTGAGGGAGGCCGCCGAGGTGGAGAGGAGGGGGAGAGACAGTTGGGCGGAATTGCTGCTGTTAGTGTTGGCGGGAGGACATAACGGGGTTGAGAGTGCTGCATTGGATTGGTCAATGATAATGGAGGTTGCCTCCAGGATGCTGGAGAGGGTTGGAGGCATTTTGTCCTTGTGGCGGTTCTTGGGTCAGAGTAAGGGAGGTGAAGAGGGCAAGCGTTATCTCGGTAAACACTTTCTGTCAAGCAGGCCTAGCTTCTCAGCCAACCAACATCATTTTATAGAAAAGTAACCCCAACCCCTCCACTCACTCACTCATCATATCTTTATAAAAAAAAATCATTTAATTGAAGCCAAATAGATTACTTATTTAGACAATATAACTAAATTACCATGCAAGAAAAAGATGTAATATTATATATTTGTTTGCATACTTGCTTAAACCTTGTATTTATTCCTGTGGTTTAGTCCTGGTCCCATTTCAATAACCAGTCAACTTGATTTTGAAGGTTTATATACAATCTCAATCTCATTGCAGGAATCAGAAAACCCGACCTCGCTAAAAGCGCCAACCGACCTCGCCTTTCTGCCAAGCTCAAACTGTGGCCTGTACCCACACTTGACCTTGAATATACAGAAATATCACTAGTAACTCTCCCGCCAAACCCCTGCGGACTTGGCAACGGCCTATATACCAGCACTCCCTTTGGTCAATAGCACCATCGCGCAGACACTGTGGTAAACTCTCGGGGTCAACTTTTTTCTCCATGTTGGTATGACGTTTTCTGTCAATGCTCGTGGTGGAGGTCAATCTTATCTCCACCCCACACCCGTCACCAGATTGTTGGGACGGACACCACATCCGCCACACTTGTCAAGGAAACATCGGTTGGTGTTTCTTGGAGAAAAAGCGAGGTGATATGTGGAAAAATTTTCTGAAAGTAGTACGTGGCATACGTCCACAGCCAGCGCGTGGCTCCAGTTGCATTGCATACCGTGGGATCAAGCTGCATCAACTCGAACCTTTCCTAACCTGAGGAATGAAAAATCGGAACTTCAAACAAGTGCGGTCCGCGAACGCGCCTTGGATTGCTCAGTGATTGGCCAAAGAGCCACAAATAAAGGGCGCTTGTATCATATATACCTGTGAACCGGTATACATTTAAGCCTTACTAAACCTCCTCCCCACCCAGGCAGAGCCATATTCATGATACTGTTGGCGGGTAATCGCAACCCCTTTCAGCGTCTCCTTGTTGTTTGCAAACCTTGAACCTCCCAGCCACGTGGAACGTATAGGACTAGAATTACCATCGCATGTTAGTAAAAGAAACTGAATAGGTGGCCATCCTCTATAGCAAAATGTATAATCAAGATCTCGGGGCAGAAACTTATGTTATGTGAAGTTAATAACTTACTCATCTGGCCGTTTGACGCGCACAACACACTCGGCTGAGGCAAGTCTCCGGATCTCAGTTCCTCTACAAAGATATATGTTAGCATTTTGAAATACAATATTTCCCCTGAGAAAAAACCTAAACAATCTCATACTTACAGCCGCTCCATAAAGCCCGGAATTAATGAATTGCCCCCGACCACCATGATATTTGCCAAGAATGCAGGATGTAAGCCGGTTGGTAACACGGACAATGATTGCATTACCATCTCAGGAAGGCCAAGCTGTTTCATCCCGATGTCTCCTGGATTGAATAATATTTCGGGGACAGTGAACCGTTCGTTTCCAAGCACCAAGACATCTTCCGCCATTGTACCCGGAATGGTGCCGGAGAGAAGTTCCTTCTTTCTCTGTGCCGCTGTAAGGCTCTCGTGCGGGCGTATAAAACCCTTTTTGTGGGCGTTTGGGTCCGGAAGAACGTAGTCCACGACGATCCCTTCTGCCGCACCATCATCATCAGGCTTTCGCTTTCGATTCTCTCTCCAGATTCGCTCCATGTCTGCGGAGAAATCGTCACTAACAAAACAGGCAGCTTCTTTGACTTCATTTATTATGTGTGTTTCATCGAGCATGTTGTACTGTCGAACCGACACAAGTTCCTTGAGAAAATTCGTAAGATATTTCCCGCCAATCTCCAGTCGCCTGATGCCTCGCTGAAGTGGCCGTCCTTTGTAGACAGGTGTAACAGTCGTGTGTGAATATCCGGAATCAATAACAAGAAGGCACTCGATAGGGGAGATGGTGGAGTTTGGGTCCGAACCCATCGGATCGCCGAAAAGAGCATGAACTTCATTCCAAGCATTAAGTGTTGGTCCTGCATCAAGTAATTCATCCTTAGCGATTGGCAAATAATATGGGTTAAGAAAAACGGAGCTACCCACCAACGCATCTAAAATACCCCCCAAAACCCCACTCCTCCATGATGATCTCATCCGCATTCTTCTGCAATGCGGCCATTGCATTTGGAGCCTCCGTATAAATCAATGTCGTATTTTCCGGATCCGCGCATCGCACCTCCGGTTTCCGCGCTGTCCCCTCGTCAAAAAAAGCATGGTCCCAGATTTCCTTCTCTGCTTCCCAACTCACCACATAGCCTTTCTCAACAGGCCGGCGAAATGCAACCTCGTTCCAGTCCGAGATGTGCGTTGAGAGCTGAGCACCGATGTAGACCCGCTTGTCGCGCGTTCTAGCCACAGCATTTGGAATTACCAGACAAGAATTTAGAGGAGGTTCAGTGCTCAGCTGGTCGGGCGCATACCCAGCTTTCATGGTATAGGCGCCATTGTCGATGATGAATGTTTTGGGGGGTAAAGGTGGTGGTGAAGGGACGCGCTTTGTCGCGCGAGAAGGTTTGGATGTTCCCATGTTATTTTATTCTCTTATGGCATGTATGGGGATAGTAAATTATTGGTTATACTGCCGTTATAATCCGCCGGCATCTCTAAGGACTGTCGTTGCATTGCCTTGATGGGTTGTATGGCGAAAAGAAGCTCTGGGTTGAATCCATGTTCATGATCTAATCTTCAAGAGCTGTGGGTCGGAGCCTGGATTTTCCTTGGGACTCTCTTTTTGACTCTAAGCCGAAATAGGCCAGAGGTGGGAATATGTATGCTGCATCCCGGTGGAAGAATCAAAAATAAAGAGAGCAGTTGGCTACTAGAACTTTCCCAGAAAATATAAAACGACAGTTTGAATGTTACCCTGCTGCTCTCCCATGAAAAACTTTTGATATGGCTCAAACTCTCAATCATAGCAGAGTTCAAAGTTGAATGAGGCTCGAAATTTATAAGTGCAATACGCTAATTTTTCTCATTCAACTTGAGTTTGGTTAAAAACTCCACACTCTAATACGGGTGTAGCTATGTGTGCATCTACTGCGTAGAGATTGTTCTCTGTATTTTCAAATTCTAGCTCTCTAACTAACCCTCTAATAATATCTTAGTTCTATCTCCAATTCTATCCCGGTGATGAGATGATCTGAACCCCACTTATACTTTGAACCTTGATGGAACTGTTGGTCATCGCGGGGTTGTAGACGCGATCCGCTAAAAATGTGGGCTTTGAAGCCCCTATCTTTTCGGGCTTTTAGTTAAAGCTTAAGCCAGACACCTCTATACTTTTTGGGCACACACCCTCGATTGTAAATCCACACCAATTTTACCACGTGATTTATAGTCAGTTCCATGTCACTTTTACCTTCACTCTCCACAGCTACAAAGCTACCCTCTCTAATGAAGAAACTGTCTCTTCTGCACCGGCAGCAGTTCCGGGAAGGGGGTCTCACATATCCCCGCTGCTTTTACAGCGCTTCGAAACAATCTCTTCCCGCAACCCCTCCAGCAACACCAACTGATCTCCGCAAACCTTTGCACTCAACCCCACCCCGGCATCAACAGGTAGCCACCCACGCTCGGCGGAATCAGGAAGATGGAACACCCTCACTTCCCTCCAGCCAACCTCACCAGACATATCCCCTGCGGGGCTACTATCTCGAAATTCTCTCCCACCCCAGGCAACGCACCATACCCCGCCTCCCCAAAGAGAAATCAAAGCCTGAGGTCCAGTCACAAACCTCTCCCCCGGTAGATACCCGGAACCAGCCTCCGGAGCCAGCTCCCGAGCCTACCCCCGCGGAGAAAATGAGGATAGTTTTCGGAACCCGCCTAGCGGGACCGGGCTACTCCGGTTCCTCAGGTCGGTATGACCCTGGCGGCCGCACCCCCGAATCTACATGGCGTGTCTTGAACGGTGTCCCTATTCCACCCCGTCCCCAGGAACCCGATAACTGCTGCATGAGCGGCTGTGTCCATTGCGTCTGGGATGACTATAGAGATGAGGTTGAAGCATGGGCGGAGCGAGTGAGGGAGGCAAGGAGAAAGGGAAGAACACAAAAGAAGAAGGGAAAGCAGAAAGGAAAGGAGAAGGGAATGAAGGGGTCTATTTCTGAGAAAGGGAGCGATAGTTCTGTTGCTGGAGAGATGCGACATAAGCCGCGGAAGGAGGTGGAGAGTGCTAGTATGAGTATGGATGATGATGGAGGTGGGTCAGAGGCGAATTGGGATGGCGGAATTGGAGACGGTATTGGAGAGAATGCAGATGATTTGTTCTCGGAGATTCCGGTGGGGATTAGGGAGTTCATGAAAACCGAGAAGAGGTTGAGGGAGAAGAAGCTGATGACTCGAGCGGAGACGGGGACGGGAAGCGGGGAAGGGGAAGAGCCTCGCTTTAAAGGTTTCGCTAGCTGACTCTGGCTGAAAACCTCTGGCTGTGGGACTGTTATGAATGTATGCGGCCAATTGTCCACTCAATCAATGGAGCGCGCTTTTTGACTTTTTTGATTCCCACAACAAAAATCTTAAATTCATAATTTTGTATATAACGGCATTGGCAGATACCTGTCATTTGAGGCTATTACATTCCTATTCGGGGATGTGATGTTGTTTTGAACGCATTAGGGGGGCGGAGACTGGTGGAAGCAGCTCGATTTTTCTACGTAGTCGATCTTGCTCTTGAGCTGAACGAAACCAAGGATATCTGGCAAATAACAGAGCCCAAATAGTTAGGAACAGTCCGAATGCCTGGTAGAAAATGATAAAAGGAACATTCCAAATGAATCCAGGTCCATTTCGAGTTTAAGTAATGGTACAGTACATATTCAGACTGTTAATGTCGTTACCCAACTAGGAAGAACAGTGAAACATGAAACTAATGCAGAAATAATTGCGCCAGATGCAATGCATTCGACCAGATGACGATGGAAGTAGCGATAAAAATCGTGATGCACTTTCGATTATCCAACAGGGTATGTTTCTACGACATCCCGCATAAGATCCTCAAGTATCTCCCTTCTTGCGCCGGAAAGTGCTGATGACTATTTTAAAAATACGTGGTTAGTTTTCAACGGGGGAAATGGAAAAAATATGTATTAAAACCACCAAAGAGTAGAAAATGATTAAAGTGACGATAGAAAGCTCACCGTATTCTTCAACAACCCATCTGCAAGAATAATCGCGTTATCCCGATCCTTCGCCTTCTTCAGTCGTTCTGTCTTCTCCTGCGCAGACTCTCCACCCGAAGGCTCAGATATACCCATCTTAACTGTGTCCTGGATTTGCTGGAAAACGCTCATGTTCTGCAAACTATCGACTACCGCCAGAGAGCCGGAGGGTGTCGACGCCATCAGGGCAAGCGCAAACCAACCCTCACTCTGCACAACAGGCCACTCTGTCTGAGTTATCATCGTTCCAAGCGGCCAAGCGACGTCCCCATGCAGCTTATACAGGCATTCGGAGAGATTGGAAGCTTCAATTGCCGCCTCAGTTCCTTCTTGTTGCCGCTGGTTAATGGAACGGCATATGGCGCAGATCGTGCGGCCGATTTCTATCTTGATTGGAGTAGCGTCGGATTTCCCAAAAAGGGAGAGGAGCAAAGAGAGGTATGTACGCGAATTCGCCGGAGAATCCGGGTCAGAGGATAAAGGCTCTAGCAAACGCGAGATATTATTGAATGAGGAGACAATGACTTGGCGCGTGAGGCTGGCTGCGGAGAATTGGACCTGAGGCAGAGTGTTGAATGCCCAGAGGCGCGATACAGCTGTAATGATCCCGGCGGAGCCTAGCGGCTCTTTGTTGTCAGTGGCAATAGCAAGGTTTTTTAAGAACCCAAGAACAGCGTGTAGGACGGCAGCTTTGGCATCGCCATTTAGAATTGATATCAGGGGTACATGGACTTGGAAATCCTTGACCATTGATACACAAATTTTATCCTCTCGAGCTAGGTTTCCAAGCATGACGCAAGCGCATATTTGCAATTGGTCTTCTGGTTTCTGGAGCCAAGAGCGCAGTGTTTCCGAAAGGCCACAATTAAGAGGATAGGCTTGTGAGAATAGGGGCAGGGCAGATATGTCTGAGAGCGCTTGGTTGAGCCTTATCCGTAGTTGAGTGAGCATTTGAATGTCCCCTGGGCTAAGTCCATGAGGAGCAAGGTCGTACGATCGGTAAAGGACCGAAATTACCCTTTCGACAAGATGGTGAATAATGCATATATTTTGAAAGCGATCATGTAGCAGATATGAAGCAAGACAGCTAGCGAGTGTTGTAAACTGAGGAAACCCTATGTCTTCATCTGTGGCGAGATTGATAAGTAATGGAAGAGCGGCATCCGGTGCACGTTCAACTCCTTGAGCTGCTGGTATCAGCTTTTTGTTCTATCTTTCAGTTGCAGCTGCGAAGAGAGTGAATATCGACGAACCTTGTTCAGTTGCTGTCTCCAGCAGTTCGAGAGCATATGCTAGGAGTGCATTTCCTTCGATTAAATCATCGGAAAGTAGCGTGAGGAGACTGTATCCAACTCCGTTTGCAGCGATTTGGGCCTGTGCTGGCTCTGTCGAAATAAATTAGCTTTGACAATAGCCCGTGCTAAGGAGAACAGCGGTGGAGTGTGGAGCCTCACCAAAGTCGACGCAAATATTATATATAACAGGGATGGCCACATGCACTACGGCAGGGTTCCGGAAAAGGTTAATAATCGGAGATGTGTAATTCTTATCAACGACCAGTTGCCTATTTTCATCTACACATATTGCAAGTCAGCCAAGAAGAAGAACATGACCAGGGCTGAGATGGTGGTCCATGAATCCAATCACGTACCAGTGTCTGCACAGGAGTTTCCGATTAGCCGTAACGAGTGAAGTAGGAGGTCATCTTCCACATCAGATGTTGCAATTACTTGGAGGAAAAAGTCCAATATCCCAGTCTGACCGTATGCCCGCCGCCATTTCGCTGTTATCAGCAAAATATAATTAATTAGCCAAAATTTTTTCAAACTGTCCGAATGAGTCCCTAGATAGATTGAACATACGGTCACGACTCCCATTAGCCAATACCTCAGCAGCTTGGATCAGGAAATGCGATCCGCTCCTCCAGAGAAGATCAAGGTTGGCTTTGACACCCTTTAGGGCATCCATCTTCTGTCGAGTATCTTCTTCCACCCCCTCCAATGCAGTGAGTAACTCCTTAACATCGAAATTTTTCTCCTCCTCTTCAGCAACCTGGAATATAGCTTGCAGGGCCCGAAACATTTCCTCCTCTTCTTCCTTTGACAGCTTGGGCCCGTCTCTATACGGCGCAGATGGGGCAGAAGAACCTCCGGGTAAAAGGGAATCCGTACAACGAGAAAGTGGCTTCTCTTCCTCAGACCTTGATTTTGATAACGATAACTCGTTGCATTGGTTATGCACCGCAGAAGGCTGAGATGCCTCCCGCGGGTGCTCATCTTTTATATTACTCATTTTCCAGTTGTATGACTTTTGCTAGAAGTTGACATAAAGCAAATAAGGGGATAGCTGCCTGGCGTTTTATTGGGAATATGGGCTCTTTAGGAAGAGGGATAATTTCAAATGACCAGGGTCAAAGTCCGAAAAGCCACAAAATGAATATCCTCCAGTTTTGTTCGTATGATCAAAAATGGAGAATGGCCTCTGGAAAGCAGGGAATGTGACCCTTGAACTGGCAGATATTGTGGGAATGTAAAATCATAGCCTTGGAACCAAACAATCTGACTGGGATCTAGGAATGTAGCCAGGTAGAAAGTCTGAGATAGAGAGGGACAGGTAGACGGGCTCTAGCGTCAAATTAGGCACAACCAGGCTAGTGGATCCGATGGAATAACTAAATGATAGCGCTACTCAGCTAAGCAAGTATTAGCTATATCTATGGAGCGCGGAATTTTGTTTTCAAAGGGTAAGAGGAAAGGAGACATTGAAACAGCATTGCTGCCTGCATGAGAGAGGGTGAGCTACAAGTGTGATGGTTAGAACATGGTCCTAGGTTCGCCAGATGCCGTTTCAGGCAATTAGGGTTTGCGATCTAGGATAGCTTCCGCGTGTTGAGCGCGGATACTCCCACATCAAATCTCCCCTGTTCTCAAATTTCCTCCGAATTACCCGTGTCTCTTCTCTCTGACTCACCATCCGCTGTCCCTGCTCTGTCCCCGCTCTGTCCCCGCCGCTGCCTAATACTGCATGTCTTATCTTCTCTGTTTGGCTTTGCTAATCTTCCTTCCCCGTAGATAGTTACCAGAGTCAGCTAAAAGCTATCCGCGCTAAAGTGTGCCAATCCTGAGTGTAGAAACATCATTTCTCTTGCATCTGAGAAGACTAGACTTGTAGATTCCTGAATGTGAGTTAATGATACTTAGCAATACACCTGAACACACACTCGCCCATATCTATTCGATTATTTGTCTTTCAATGACTCGAGGAAGGTAGGTTGGGCGTGTAATTAGACGCGAAGGCCATGTGATTTGACTTTACACGCGGCAACCAAAAATATGCCCAGCATATCGAAAAACCAAGATAACACACAAGATCGCCCAACAAATCAACACAACCTTTGACAATTCCCTACACGACCGTGGGTTGATCCCCTCACACTCTAGGGATGTTAATTGTGTGATACATATATTGATTCTCTTTTCAGTTGGGGCCGTACCACCACACAACTACTTATTTTGATGAGCTACCTACAGTATCTGACCTCCCATCTGCCACAACTCCCCCCCCTGTTTTTCTACATACATCTTCAAAGATGACCCGAGCCCAACAGACTCTCTCTGTCCTCCTCTTAATCACATCGGTACGCTAAAATACAAAAATAAAAACGATTTGAAATTCAATTCCTCTACCGCATCACCACGCCATCAGCTAACCAACCAAAAAAAAAAAAAAAAATACCAGCTTTACCTCGCCCTCTACCTCGGCCTCATTCCTCTAAATCCCACCATCCAGAATGAAATAATACCAGTCGTACGTGCCACAACCCCCCATCCCCTATTTAGTTCTACGGCAACCCCCTTAAACAATCTACCCCATACCCCTCAATAGTACCCAGTCAGGATACCTTCACAAACACCCATCCATCAACTGCCATGTGCAATGAAAACAAACTAATCTAAATATAACCCCGCGCTCCCGCGCGCGCACACACACACACAGCTCCCTTTCTACTCCCTCATGGTAATAGGCGCATACATGCTCTTCCGCCTCGGGTGGGGTGTGTATGCCTTCAACGATGTGCCTGAGGAGTACTCATCGCTGCAGGAGGAGATTCTGGAAGCGAAGAACAAGTTGCGGGTGGCAAAGGTGGACGTTGATTAGGGTGGTTTTATGCATCTTTGTTCAGTCTTTTATGGTCTGGGTTGTGATCAATGAACAGAGGCCAGGAGGAAGCAGGGGATGGGAGAGGAAAGAAAGGTTGGAGGTAGGAGGAGACGAGACGGAAATGTCAGGCTTCTTTATTGAGATGGGTGCAAAGAATGTTGAGCCCCGATGAGGGAAATTTTTCTTGTTTTTTTCTTGTCTCTTTTTGCTGTTTCTTATACCTGTTTGTTTGGCTTCGTTCATTGTTAACAAGGTATCCTCCATAATCCAAGGCTCTTTCTTTTTCCAGTGCAAAATATTTCTAATATCTATAGAATCTTCAATTTTAAGAAATTCTAAACCTAATGTCAGGCTACGTCATAGTTTTCATTTATTTTAAAAATCAAAGAAAAAGAAAGCTAAAATAATGATGCAAATATGCAGAATGCAGAATAGAAACAGAGGCGGGGAGAGTTGGGGAGCCGGAGAAAAAAGTAATATAAAACGTAATAGAGCTAGGAGACAGAAGCAGAAATGAAAATTCATAAAAACTTCCACTATTAGCTTTTGTGTATTGGCAAAGGAACCAATACTGGTGGAGGGTAGAAAGGAAATATATAAAACATCAAGCCAATGGATGTTGAGCCGCCAGGTGATCGTGCTCGTCGATATCTCTGTTTGCGTATGGAATTAGCAAATACTTTAATATGGCAAGCAAAGCTCTAATATATCTATTTTACAAAGGGAGCCAATCGACAGATAGATTGGGCAAAGGGTTGAACGAGGCGGTTAAATAAACGCGGGGCCCAGGGGCGGAGGGGACGTAAAAGCTAAAGGACTAGCCAGCGACTGCCGTGCATGATGTGTTCAAGTCTTTGGATAAAGTATGTTGCACGGGTCGTACATACCATCCCCGGGGATGGTTGGTTATGTTGGAATTCCCTGTGGCAGAATTGGAGGGCAGAGGCTTTGGGCACAGGGGAACGAAGGGATACGGAAAGATGGGAATCTAGAAGATATGGGAAATGGTAGGAAAGACGTACTTGGCCTCCCATGGATAGCAAATCCAGACATCACCAGTGGTGACTGCAGCAAGGTATCGTCCGTTCTCCATCATGTCGGTGGGCAGTGTACCCTTCTTGTCCTTGTTTTTGTTCTGGTTGGCGACGAGAGGACTTGTCAGTTTTCCTTTTTTTTTTTCCTTTTATCTTTTCTCGATTGGAAAAACAATATTTTCGATTCTTCCTGGCAGATAGAGAACATGCTCGGGATGTTTTTTCTTTGCCGCTCCCCCTTCAACTCCATATTCTAAATAAATAACACCCCCGCTATAGAGAACAACAAACGAAAGAAAAGTAAAGGCACTCACGTGCAGCACAAACACAGAGAATGTAGTCGTCTCTCCCTCTCTACCCAACTGTTGTTGGGCAACCTGTACATCTTTCTGCAGCTCCCGCACAGCGTATTCCAACGTCGTCCGCGTGTCATCGACCTCGTCGACAATCAACACATTCTTCCCGATCAGATTGGCCATTTCCAGTGAGCTGAGATCGAGCCATTGCGTGCGCGTAACTTTCGTTCCGAGCTGCTCAATCTGGTCGTCTTTTCCTAGGTTCTCGTACAGCGATAAGCCGATGGCTTGGATGGGGATGTTTGCGCCGCCGGGTTGTTTGAGGAAGGACCTAATTTTATTCAAAAAAAGGAGAAAAGCTTGAATAAGAAGGGGAACGAAGACAAAATTATGCTGATGCGTATGGGTGTTTTTGGCATTTTGATTTTAACTCTGGTGGATTGGAGTAGAACAATATTTTGTATCCCTCTCCACATCCACATTCACCCTACTTTCCGGGAGAAGGAGAGGGTATTTAGGAAAGGGAATACCTTAGAATTCTTGCTGGAATATATCCTCCTCCGCCAATGGCGATCATGAGGTTTGGCTTGAAATCATTGAGGATGCGGTCTGCCGAGAGTTGACACAACGTGTGCACCTATTATATCAAGAAAAGACAGGTTATTCGCATATTCGGCGTAATGTAAAGGTTAGGTTCCACCACCCTTCTCCCCAGTCAGCCTCACGGTCGTTGACGGTGGATGGTGGGTGGTAGATATGTCACGTTGCTCAGCAGTCTCTTTCGAGCAAGAAAATGGCTGAAATACAAACCGCTGAGGTTGTGAGGACCCCCATGGTTATCAGCGCTCCTCAGTCGAACATATCTAATACACGCGCTTTCTCTCTCTCTTTTTCTTTTGCTACCTCCTCCTTCCTCCTGACATACCTGGTTATATGTGACATAGACCTTTTCTACCATTGTGGTCTCGTTTGAACTTTCACGTAGATAGACTTGGTGGGGGTGGAGGGGTGCGAAAAAAAAAAGGAAAAAGGAAAGATGGCCGTGCCCCACGATCCGATCGCCCTGTGCACCCAGGGAAGTGTATCGCTCCTGTTTCTCGAAGTCTTTGTCTGTGGATTTCCTATTCGAAACGAACAGACGCTGAATTAGGACATCTAGTGTGACTATGGGAAAAGGACAGGATGGATAGGGAAACCTTTATTTCCCCACGTTTCCATACTTTTTGTGTGTGTGTGTGTGTTTGAAGTGTTAGGTACTCACAGAATAAATTATGTTTCCGATGAAACCCACTTAGCTTGTATGAAGGAGAAAGGAGTGGAAGATGAGAAGAGTATAAATATAGAAATATCCGTAATGGGGGAGAGAGGGAGCAAACAACACACGGGATGATCCAACACCAAGCTTCTGATACCTCTCTCTTTTAAGGTTTAAAAAGGTAAGTTAACTTAAACCATCTAATTGAACCTAGGATTCTGCTTTTTTGCTCGCGATAGATTCTCCTCGAGGAGGATAGTTTTTTCTTGTGTGTGATCGACTGTTCCAAGCGCTTGCTTAGCCGCATTCTACTATCATGTTATCACTGCTCTGGACCGTCTGTCCCTCTACCTCAACCGTGATGGCGGGTCCAAAACCCGATCGAGTAGACAGAGCCTTATGAACACTCCCAGGGTTCTTATCGAATTGACCAAGCAGATTGACATCAGCAAATATTGTATGTCCATACGATATGACAACAAGAATAGAACGTAGTTTCGTTTTTGTGAAACCATTTTCCGTGCCATTCTTATCTAAATAATGCGCAGTAGTTACTTCTTTTCTCAATGGACTTCGTGACCCAACTTAAGCTGGCTTTAAATGCCGGTCCAATGTCAACATTTAAATGCCTTCTAAACCAGCGGCCTGAGAAACACAGAATGAATGAGAACTATATTTTCTAAATGCCATACAGTGAAATAAGAAAAATCTGCAAAAATTACAGAGGCTATAAGAGAAGAAATGTCCAAGAGAGAATAAAACAAAACTCTCTCCCCTTCTCCCAGCTCTATCATTTCCGCAACATCTGCCCAAGAGACTTACATCCCACCAACCACATCGATCTAGGAACGATTGTGCTCTTACTCCTAGGATCGTGTCAACCCAGTACAACTCTATGGAGGCCATAACACTGAACAAGATGCATACCCAAAGCAGGCCAAAGTTGTACCGGAAGTGGGAGTAATACACGTCAAACTGAGAGATAAATTGATCCCCAGTGACGAGACTGCTAGCGGCAGCAACAGGCGGATGCGCGTTCAACAATTTCCCTCCAGATTCAATAGAAGGCCTTGTGCAGGATCAGCGAAGAGGCCCATGAACTCGTCGAATGTCATGCCTGTCGGCGGCATGGTTTGGAGGGACTCGGTTCGGGTGCAGGTGATGTTCACGCTCGATAGCCGCGGCCATGGCGCCGCCGACTAAGGTACGTGCTGGATGAGACGGGGCGCATGAATCTCCAGAAGTTCGGCAAGTGACGCTGAGAATTTAAATAAAGGTGGGAAGTCTGGCATCATTTCGCACTATTGTAGTGGATCCAATAGAGATAATGGAGGGAAGCGCGTCGCTTTTCCCTGGTTGCTTGCTTATTTGCTTGTTTGCTGCTAGCAGCAGGGGACCAGGCGGAACATCCACAGAAGTCCAGTGAAAGCATCACCGATTTCAGCATTTGGGTGGAACACAGGTAATGCCGAAATGAGAGGATGGGGCTGTGAGTAGCATAAATGTCAACAGAAAGAGGAAGGTGATGGATCACGCACGGCCTGGTCTGTAGGGAAATGCCAGTAGAAGACTGAAACAGCCATCAGAATATTCCAACAGGCTTCTACCCAGGGCTAAGTGAGAGAGAGTTTACAGGTTGCTTCATCATTTAATGTGTTGGCTACATGGAACCAATAACATATGAATAATGGCATATTAGTACATTGATAAAGTTTTAACAGTTGTTCGCGGGTCCTGTGTAGAAATCACTGAGGAAGACAGCTTCCGCATTGGTACAGATTAGTATTGGACATGACGGGAAACAAGGATGGCATAAAGCTGGTGCGGAACGCCCTGGCTGACCGGATGGAGTTCTCCCCGTTTGAGGGCGAGGCTAATGTAAAATGAATGGATAAAGGACGCGAAAGGTCTTCTTGAAGAGACCCATATTCCGTTCCGTTTCAATTATCCCAACCTAGAAAGAGTGAGTTCGTCAAGAAAAAGAGAAAAGAGAAGTAAATTCATACCTACCCTGACGACAACAATCGATCTGAGACCCAATACATAACTAACTAACTAAAGGTTACATGTAGCGCCAGAAATGCTTCAAGGCACGGTCGAGAACAACTCGAGCGGGTTGAGATGGTTCACTAGCGGGCCTCCAACGCATGTGCACCTTCAACCACAGTTGCAAGACTCACGCCAAATCTGGTGTTAGTCGATATCAAACGTGCCATCTATCCTTGGCTTGATATTTGCAAGCATCCATTCTGCCTGATTAGCTTCTCTTGCACATTTTGGGGAGGGGAGAAAAGGGTGTTTCGCTCCAAATAATCAATTGGAGACCTTGGTTGAGAATTGAGTTCTGCGAGGAGAAGGAAGAGACATGTAATTATTATTAGGGATCATGGCTGATTTCTTCCTTTCATATCTTCATGACTGTCGCTCACTGCTAACTTACCCCCCTAAGTAAAGGGCAAAGTGCTGTACCATCTGGTACAACAGGAACCGACCAAACTGGTCATAGAGAAGGGCCGATGGCCTCAGTGGGTGAGTTTCTGTTGGCAGTTCAGGATGATAGTATCGAACGTAGAGTGTCTGGCATGGTACAGCTGTGGGAGAGAGCCCCCTGAACCTCCCGGATGAAGTCCTCCACCACTCATGATCGGGGAGAATGAACGGATTCAACAGCTTGATGGCATGCTAATGGACTAGTAATTAATTATTTGTATCGATGGAAATGAAGCTGCAGGGTAAGGCTGCATTGTTCTAGCAGAATTGTGCAGCGAGACCGGTTTCAAAATTGACAGAATGGATCTCTCATAAAAATATCATGAATAGTGAGTGCTAGTAAGAATGAGACAGAAGGACTTGAACTGTCTCCGAGACCACCTTGTCCTGCAACAAAAAAAAAAAAAAAAAAATAACAGATCGGTAAAGCTCGTGTTGCCAATTGTAAATATCTGGTCAGACAATGAAGTTTACAGACAGAATTCTAAAATATCTCAACAGCTGGAATAAGTTTCTGGAAGCTGTCTGGCTGACTGTCTGTATCAATATATCAAACAATGCATCTCGGCAGACTCGCTATTCTTTTCTTCTTTTCTTCTTTTCTTTGCTTTTTCTTTCTCCTTTTCTTTTTCTCTCCTTTTTGGGGCATTCCATTTTTCCATTTTCCTTCGGCTTCTTTTTCCATTTTTTCTTCTTTTCTTTTTCCTCCCCCCAGGCTTTGCACCCACTGGCTCGCCGTTTTGCAGTGTTTAAGTTGCATTTATTATCCTATTACTTATCCCTCCATCTAGCTACATCGGAACCTCGGGCCTTAATTGTTAATTCCAAGTTGTGGGTTAGCGTATTTAAATACTGCGTAGTTACGGGCGCCGGTTGAGGTTCTCCTGGTCCTGTCTGTATGTAACTCCAGCCAGGATTGCCCCGTACTGGGTCGGATCTGGTCTTGCTTATGCTGTATCCGATGTTGCTATTCCATCCTGCTTATTATCCTCTCCACGTATCGAATTGCTGATGCAATGATGCCAGTCCTGTCTCGACTCGGTATATCTCTCTCGTTGCCGGTGCCTGCAACGCCGCAGTAACTGGGTTGTTCACTTCATTTCTGGGACCGACCCGTTGCTCGACTCCAATTGCCACCATCGCTCCCACCACCACCACCACCACCGCCGCCGCCAACCACTGCTGCTCCTACTCCTCCTACTCCTTCTGCTGCTGCTACCGTTGCTACTACTACTACTACAACTACTACTACAACTTTGAGCACTACTCTTTACTCCCACTCCTCGCTACTCTTGCAACCCGGCGCAATCCATCGACCCCCGTTCCATCGTAGTCAACCCCTTGCATAGAAAAATAGATGCGTGCTGTTCTTCTCGCTGGTTGCCCCAGTACCACGACCGTCGTGCCTGGTTCCTTTGCCTCCCTGCACCTCTTCTCGTTTCTCTCCCGACTGTCCTGAGCTTCCCGTCCACTTATCAATCGATCCTCGCCTGCAAACATCACTGCACTAGCTTCCGCCCTACGGTATAACCTCCTCCAATCGTCGATCCCCCATCCATTTCTCCCTATCTCCATATCGAATCGATTTAGACTACCCAGCCAGTCTAGAGCTGTCCACCATCGGCTTCACCCCCCTCCGCTCCGCTCCACTCCTCTCCTCTCCACTCCTCTCCACTCCCATCGCCCCCTTTTGCGCCCCACTCTGCTCTTCTCTTCTCGTTTCTTTGCGCGCCATCGCTGGGACCCTCCGTCGGCCCTATCACACCCACCAATACAGGATCTCCATATCTACTGTCCACTATTACCATAACCTTCCTTTTTCCGCCATGAATCGCATACAAGAACACCATGTTCGAAGCCCGTTTTCCAGCCCAACCGACATCGGAAAATCCAGAACCATCCCGGTCCTCTCCTCGTCCCTTGCTCCATCCGATCACCACTCGCAAGGTGATCCCATGGACCTCTCGCCGCCTGCATCGGCTTCAATGGCTCCCCCCACCAACAACAATGGCATCCCTGAGTCGGAACACGGATCGGCTTCCGCAAACCATAATAGCAATAACAACAACAACAACAGCCATGCCAACCACAGCCATAGTAGCCTCAATAATAACCATGCGAACGGCGCTGGCGCTGGTGATGCATCCTCAGGTGCGGTGATGGGAGGTGAGTCTGCCGGCCATGCGCAAAGCCAGCCTACAGGCGCTGCTGCTGCTGCGCAACAACCCAAGGTCGTTCAAACAGCCTTTATACATAAGCTGTACAGGTAGGTTGGGACATCATTTTGCTTCCCCTAAATTGAGGAACCATGTTTGATCCCTAATGCAATTCGCCATCGCACAGCATGCTACAAGACCCGAGTATACAACATTTGATTTCTTGGTCCAGCTCAAACGAGAGCTTCGTTATGTCTCCCTCTCAGGATTTCTCAAAAGTTCTCGCGTACGTGCTCCTTATCCCAGGCTTCTAGAATAGCATTGCTTGTCCGGCTGTAACTGATTACTGACCTATATTGTGCAGTCAATATTTCAAGCACACCAATGTTTCCTCCTTCGTGAGACAGTTGAATATGTATGGGTTTCATAAAGGTACGTTCGGTCATATCCACATAATACCTGGTTTTGAATCAATTGGTTCGTTCTAACTCATATTCGACTCTGACCTGTCATATGTTTATAGTCAGCGATGTCTTCCACACAGGATCTCCTGACTCTCAGATGTGGGAGTTCAAACATGGCAATGGTAATTTCAAAAAGGGAGATGTAGCCGGTCTACGAGAGATCAAACGTCGCGCATCAAGACAGACCCTAATTCATCGTGACTCATTTTCGGGACACAAACCAAGTTCTTCTCAACCTGCAACTCCCGCTGAACCACTTCCCGAAGCAGCTGATTCCAGAGTGATCGATTCCAGACTGCTCAATACAGAGCACAATATCTACGATCTTCATGCTCGTCTTTCTCCTTCTAGTGTCCGAACTATTCTCTGATGTGGATCTCCACAA